GCACACACATTTATGTCATATCAATTCATATTTAGTGACGATATAAGATATTTGCGTCATAACTTGTAATATAAAATACTCGACCCCGGCGGGACTCGAACCCGCAACCTTTGAATGTCAGCCACAGTCCGCTAGAAGTCCAACGCGCTATCCATTGCGCCACGGGGCCAACTGTCGACTTAACCCCTTCGCGGCGCCTGTAACCCACGCGGTTAACCTCTCCGGCCCTGCCACACGGACCGCTCTTTTCCCTCCTCGGCGTGGAGGAGAGTAAACCCACGACGTTTAACAATTCGACACGCTGTGCTAGAACGAGTAACGAATTACCGCGTTTTGCTTCCGTGACAAACCTGACTAATTGGCCGTGTCGGGTGGTGGTGGGATTAACGAAACGTTAACGCGATCTAACCCAAAAAACAACCTTCATGGATATTTGTTGGGAAAGCCTTGGGGTTACAACGACGACTTGTTCAACTTGTGTGGTGCTTGCGTCTGTGTGGTCATCAATGCTTGTGTCGCCACCTAGCGGAGGCTGCAAGCAAGTCCGCTCTCGGGTTGTGATGGGGTAAAGAATCTAAAACTATTTAACCTAAACTAATTTTTCTTCATTTGACCAGGTTGAGGCCCACTGAGCAATAGTTAATTTATAAAAGCGACCAGACTGTCACAAACGATAGCTCAGCGAAGCGGCTCATCACAGAGTGGACATGTCGAGCAGCAGCAGCGGCAAGATACTCGAGACGGGTGACGTCGATTCTAAATGTGTCGCGAACAAAAAACCGGAGGACACGGAGACAAATCCACGCGGGGGAGAGAGAGACACGCAAACCACAGACATACAGCAGCAGCAGGCGTCAGGGTCAGGATCGAACCCACGACCTCCTGTATACCAGGCGTGGTAATTAACATCTCCGAGGCACTACTGCACATTAAAGACATGTACATGAAACATTTTAATAGCAAAAAAAGAAACACCACGTCATTTACACGTACAAGACTTATACACATTTAGAATTAAAACTTTGTTTTGACTGCCCCCCCAGTAAACATTGGCCCAACGTCGTGCCAACGTCGGCGCGTGGTGGGAACCGTTGGACTGGCGTTGGCTCCAACGTTCCATGTTTTCTGGCTCGTCGCTTCGATTGGCAGAGCAATTCGTGTTCACGACGCACGTCTCGGACGACGCTTCACGTCGCCGCAGCAGCAAACTCCAGAGGCCGACGACCGGGGGGGACCGTCTTCTGTTTGCGATTCCGCCGTCAGAATATTTTGGCCAGCAAAGACATTGGCACCAGCAACAGCGCAACCGCCCGAGGCCAATTTCGGAAATAAGATAACAAACAGGTCCCTGCGGGGTGGGCTGGTAGGAACGAACAAATGAATGGCTATAATAAAATGAAATGGCGGGGGTACGATACGAAGGGAGAGTTTGAGGCCTAGTTCTAGGCTTTAAGCCTAGCTTTAGGCCGCTGAGTTAATTTTTAATTTAAATGTTTTAATTAAAAGCTATCTCAGGGAATTATAAGGAATGTTACACTTGTTTAGCCAGGAAAGCCTCACCGAGTCTAAAGGTTTTTGTAGGGTCCTGCCAAGTGTTTGCAGTAGGGGGCGATGTTGCTACACCTAATCGGACATCGGACGGACGATATAATCTATTGTAGGCTGGTTCACTTCGTTCCTACCAGTAAAACTTTTTAATGAAAAATAAACCCTGCAATCATCTTCCGAGGAACGCCTGTTGTAAAATGACACAGCAGATAGGGGTGGCCAAACGTCCTCTCGACCCCCGACGAGATTGCGAAACGACCCCTTGGCATGGCCGAGAAGTCACAGGACGCAAACTCACGGAGCGCTTTAACAAATGGCTGGCCATTGGCAACATACGGAAATCCCTCCCTCGTCAACCGCGGGGGGGGGGGGGGGGTCCTCCAACATGCCGCGGTAGGAAATATCCGCGGTTGGCGAGGGATTCGTGCACAGAGAGGCCGCTTGCCCTGGGCGGGGTCACACCACAGGCGGGGTCACGCGGCCGAGTTGGCCGTGGAGCCTTGGATTTAGAAATCCGCGAAAGCGCGTCCCCAGGGCGTGCTCAAGTCTTGGCATTCGCTGCCGGGGCCGAGTGCTCCAGGGCCGAATGGACTGCCCGTCCACATTCTGCATATTTCTAACCCCCCCCCGTCCCCCGTTTCTAAATAAAGATTTTATTAAAAAGTTAGAAATCCGCGAAAGCGCGTCCCCAGGGCGTGCTCGCGTCTTGGCTCTCGCTGCCGGGGCCGAGTGCCCCAGGGCCGAATGGACTGCCCGTCCACATTCTGCATATTTCTACCCCCCTCCCCCCCCCCGTTTCTAAATAAAGTTTTTATTAAAAAGTTAGAAATCCGCGTAAGCGCTCGCGTCTTGGCTTTCACGGCCAGGGGCGAGTGTGTCGGGGCCAATAGGTTGCCGCTCAGGATTCCGCAGATTTCCCCCAGCCCCCGTTTCAAATCTCGAATGAAAAGTGAAGGCGTCAACAGCGTCTCCATCGTCCGGGCAACTCGAGCTGGCCGTGAGACACACGTGGGCCTCACGAAACGTGGTTTGGCCGCCCCCCCTGCTATCGAAGAAGAATTCGTGACACTAGAAGGCCGCTCTGCATTCGACAAACCCATTTGTTACAATCAGGAGAAGAGGGAAAAGAAAAACGCATGCGTCTTTGTAAAGATTACGATTAAATATCATTATCATCCTACTGCCAGCAGAGTGACCGTATTCTATACAATTCAATGTCCTTTATTCAAACCAGATGCGAGCCATTCGAGATGCAGCATCTCCTCTGAGACCTGGGAAACAAACACACAAGGCGGAGAGTGCCGACATATTTTGTTTGCATATCTTGCCACAAGTGCGTGTGGATTAATGCAGACTTGATGCTTTGAAAACGGTATCGTATTTGGTGTTTGAGCATCTTAACACAACTCCTGTTTTATTCTAGATTAGAAGCTCCTCACTGGATACAGTAAATTTAGCTGTGACGGTCCCACCTGATGACGGAGACTTGTGTTGCCTCCGAAACGTTGTGATTTATAAATTTTATTTCTATTATTTTTTTAATTTTTATTTATTTTTTACCTACGTGACTTTACCGAAAAAAACCTAAGAGTATGAATCCTGTTCTATTGCCAGGCGAGGGTAACGCCTGTGCTCATTTTTCACGCTCGTGCCAAACGTTAAATAAAAAAAAATGTAGTCGCCGCTAATTTTCTAATTCGAGTGTGAGGATTGGGCCACGATTGCCGGGGGCTCGCGATGTCGTCCTGCGCTTGCGAATTGGGCGCCTGCGTGGGTGCTCGACCTCCACCCTTGTGGGGACTGCTTCGGAGGTCACCAGCTGTGAGCCGGCACCACATTTGCGCTCCGGGGATTCGAATCGAGAACGGAGGCGGCCGGTCGGATCGGAGAAGGCGATCCCGGCAGTCACCCGTGATTAAGCCTGGCTGAAAGTTCAAGCCCTGGCCATTAAACGTCGGTTTGTCTTAAAAAGGCGTCCGGGCGTGGCACTGGCCACCCACCCCTCTTGTGCCACAGTGCCGGCCTTCACAAGTGCTGCTCGCTTACAGCACTTGCCCCAACAGTCTGTTACAGGCTATACGGGGCATCTTTATCCCTGTTTTAGACAAAGACAAAGCAGCCGTGCTCGCTCCCCCTCTGCCGGCCACCAACAGCGCCGCGCCACCCGTGGCCTCCGCGAGGACGCGGCGCCGTGGTGGGGACGCGGCCAGGGGGGTCCGTAGGTCGGGCGAGGCGGGGCCCAGGTGGAGAGAGGGATGGGAAATCCAAGCGTCGGTGCGGTGAGCGTAGGGATGAGGTGTTTGGTGAAGGACCATTGCCTGAATCGTCACCTGTTGTGTTGTTTGTGTGCGTTGCTGTAGAAGCCACGCGCACGCGCGCTGGGTTCCCGTGGTTGTTCGCGGTCGAGCGCGCAAGTTGCCCACGATGGCGCGGGGGGAGCGGTGGGAGTTGTTGTGAAGGGGCGCGAGGTGGTGCCGGCGATCGTCAAGTGGTGAGGGTGAGGAGCAAGGGTGAGTGTAGAGGCTGTTGAGTGGTGAGCGTGGGAATCGGCGGCACTCGAGGTGCACCTGGCCTGGCACAAGCGCCGTGGTGACGTCGCCGCCACTTCGAGGCGCCGCTTGCTGGTGACGATGGCGACAGGGATGAGACGACGTGTGGTGGTGAGCGGTGGGTAGGCCTGATGTGTGATGATCGTGGGGGGTGGTGGGGGCGGGGGAGTGAGGTGAGGCTGTGGTGAGCACGGAGCGAGGTGGTGAGAGTTTCCGCATTCCGCGCAGACCCCTCGTCCCTGGCCCCTGGCCTCCTCCGGCCGTCTTCGTCCGGCCCGGAGGAAAAAAATCCACCGGATCCGGCGCTCCGAAAAGTCCATCCCGGCCCCCGGCTTCGTGAGTACCCCCCCCCCCCGTCCCCATAATTATCAACAACAGCAGCAAATGTTTGTGTTCTTCTGTCTCGCTGCCATGATCCACGGAGCGTTTTGAGCGCGCCCGGTGATGGGGAGCGCAAGGAAGGACCTGGGGGTGATGAGGAGGGGATGAGGAGGGGATAAGGAGGGGATGAGGAGGGTCGGGGGGGGGGGGGTGGTGGGCATGAGCAGCAAGCAGTGGGGAGGATTCCGGAGGAGACTCGGAGTGGTGATGAGTAAGAGGCATGGGGAGTGAGTGAGCGGGGAGCCACGGGGAGCAGTGGGGAGCGAGTGAGCGGGGAGTAGCAGGAAGGGCGGTGGAGTTGGGTGGAGAAGCGGGGAGCGGGGAGCGAGCAGCAGGGAGCAGGGAGGCACAGGGAGGGAGTGAGAGATGCAGGGAGGGAGGGAGAGGTGCAGGGAGGGAGTGGGGGGCACAGGGAGGGAGTGGGGGGCACAGGGAGGGAGTGGGGGTTATAGGGAGCGAGGGGTGCAGGGAGGGAGTGGGGGGTGCAGGGAGGGAGTGGGGGTACAGGGAGGGAGTGGGGGTGTAGGGAGGGAGTGCGGGGCACAGGGAGGGAGTGCAGGGCACAGGGAGGGAGTGGGGGTTATAGGGAGCGAGGGGTGCAGGGAGGGAGTGGGGGGTGCAGGGAGGGAGTGGGGGGGGGTGAGTCGTGGCCGCTGTCAGAGGAAGCACACGGGCCCCAGCGTGGCCGGGCGCTCGTCCCGCCGGCCGCCGTCCGCCGCCGTCACGGCCGCGTCCCGGAGGGGCAGCAGCTCCAGGTCCTCGGTGCGCACCTCCAACTCGACCTCCACCTCGACCTCCGCGCCCTGGCCCTGGCGAGACGGGGCGGGGGGCGGGGGGTGGGGCGCAGGCCGGGTGAGCGCCGGGATCGCTCGCCTCGTTGCGACATTTTTCCATCGGCCGCGGCTTGCTTGCTAAACACGGCCGATTAGAGATGAATCGGCCGTGTCCCGCACCTCCGATCAACACGGCAGGCTACGCATGGTGGTGAGAGACCAGCCCCTAAAGAAGGCTGCCGTCTCTGGTGTAGGGCAATCAGTCTCAAAGACAATGCATCAGAGCCATGTGTGTTTGCATGTTCACCACCAGCGCTGTGTGTGGTTCACGCCGTCTTGTTCACTTGCAAAAGGTTTCTGTTTGGTGTTTGAACATCTTGACACAACTCAGGTTTTGTTGCCAGAAAGGAGTAAAGCACCCATTCTTATTTTTCATGCACATTCTACTTACGTGGTGATCTGACCCCCATAAATCGTGAATGAAGTTAAATGTGATTTAAAATATATGTATATAGCGCGTATATAAATATTCGTCAACCGGTAGGGCAGGTTGTGATGATGATCTACACTCGTTGCGCAATCCCAATTGAGCGATTTGCAGGTGCAACACATTTCATTGTCGCGTTTGTAAAATTGGGGTTCGCAACGGGACGCGGGGATGGCAAGCGCCACGCTGAACATTCAAGCCTCGAGCCTAAAATGTAAAAACTAAACGATTTTACGTACCAGGTAAGGCCTCCGCCCCCACCCCCCACGAAGCCACAAACGATAGCTCCAACGGAGTGGCTGATATCATCATGTGGTGGGAATTTATAGCCGAGTCCAAATACTCTCTGAACTCGTGACGTTGATTCTAAATGCGGAGGGGAAAAACCGGAGGACCCGGAGAGAAATCCACACGACACGCCGGCAGGGAGAGAGACACGCAAACTCCCAGTAGACAGGCGTCGTCAGGGTCGGGCTCGAACCCGCGACCTCCTGCGTGCCAGGCGAGGGACACGACATCTGGGCACCTCGGCGGACCGCGGTCGTCTATCCGCCGGCGTGCGCCAGGAGGTGGCGGGGGGGGAGGGGAGGCGCATCGATCGGCACGTTTGGCGGGGCAAACCTGGCAGGGCGCGTGGGGCAGCGACACGTCGGGGTGGCCGTGCGTGAGCGCCACCCCGCTGTCGGCGAGCAGGGAGACGCGCCACGACGACGCCTCCGCCGCCGTCCTCGCGCACGGCACCGTCGCGCCCTGCCTGGCCCCCGTGCTGTGCAGCCGCAGGAACTTCAGCTGCACCGTGTGCAGACCCTCGTACGCCACCTGCAGTGGGGGGCAACGCAGTCGTCCGCTCGCTCGCAACGTGCGTAGAGCTGTCGGTCTTCCGGGCGGCTCAACCGGGACACGTGAACCGTACCTCTTTCTGGGGCAGCAGTGAGATGCTGCTTTGCATTCTGGTACTGCATTAAGTGAGACGCAGTGCATTCTGGGACAGCAGTGACACGCAGTACATTCTGGGACACCAGTGAAACGCCGTGCATTCCGGGACAGCAGTGAGATGAAGTGCATTCTGGAACAACAGTCAGTGAGACGTAGTGAATTTTGGGACAACAGTGAGACGCAGTGCATTCTGGGACAGCAATGAGATGCACTGCATTCTGGGACAGCAGGAAGGGGGTCGCCAAACCTGTTCCTGTAGCGGGGTGCCATGGAGCCACGTGTCGGAACCGTTTCCCGCTCCCGCGTCTGGGGTCACCGACGGCACCTGGGGCAGAATCGCGGTTTGCTAATTTACGATTACTGAAGTTACCCTATTACTCGGCCAATTTACTTGGAAGTGAAGTCTAAACCTAGCCGCCCCCCCCCGGTCAGTCCATCTGCAGGCCATCGAGATCAAATAAAACAGAAAAGTAAAAATCATTTTATCCCTAAAAATTAAAAATAATTTTATCTCTATGGGCCCTACCCCCCCTCTGGGGTGAAACAAAAATAAAACAATAAACTGAAACCCCACGCTGGCGAGATTAAATCATGCGCTCGCAGAATGGCCGAGCGGCTGATGGGACGTGCACAAAAGTTAACAAAGTTACAAAACCTTCGTTGTAAAACACGCGGAGGCTACACACACGGGTGGGGGAGGAGGCGTATTGACTACTTAGCTATTTAGTTTCACCGCTGGTCATTTGCCAGGCTGCCGACACAGAATCGACCCCCCCCCCCCCCCGTGCTACGGACGTCCGAATCTCACCAGCGGACATCCAAATCTGACGCCTGCTGCTGTATATTTGGAGTTTGCGTGTCTCTCTTTCTCTCCCCGTGGTCACGTGGATTTTTCTCCGGATCCTCCGTTTTTTCCCCCTACACACTTCGAATCAACGTCACGCGTTTAGAGTATTCGGTTGCTATAAATATCCACTTGATAAGCCACTTCGTTTGAGCTATCATTTGTGATACAGCCACAGCTATATCGTAGCTCGGTGGGGGCCTTACACGTGGTAAATTCACATTTAGTTGTAACTTTTGTGGGCACCGACGCTCGGTTAATCTCACCGGCTCCTCCCGCTAAGCGCCCCCCCCCCCCCGCTCCCCCGTACCTTGAGGGAGGCGGTGAGCGGGGAGACGCAGGTGGCCCCGCCAGCGGTGAAGTTGCAGAAGGCACGCAGGGCATCGTGGGGGCAGCCCTGGTTGGGGTCAATGTAGTAGAACCCTGCAAAAGGACAAGGTCCCCCGTGTAGCCTGGGACAGACTGTAGCAGCCAAACACCTCGCCTAGCCACCTTTGTCTCCCCAGCGGTGATGTTTACACGCCACGCCAGCTACTGCTTTGAGTCGACACGGGAGAGGCCCAGGACCGGCTCAGATGATCTTCAGTGCGCTAACCAATGCGCCACCGCTCCCCACCACACACGCACATCCCCTTATTCATGCGGGGCAGCCTCACCACCGGGTCTCAACACTCACTCATGACGTCATGGGGCAGGTGTAAAGGTTTTATGACGTCATGGGCCAGGTGTAAAGGTTTTATGACGTCATGGGGCAGGTGTACAAGTGTGATGACGTCATGGGCCAGGTGTAAAGGTTTTATGACGTCATGGGCCAGGCGTACAGGTGTTATGACATCATGGGTCAGGTGATATCGGGTGGTGGTGGGCTTAATGACACATTTATATTTACGCGATCTAACCTCCCCAAAAAAACCTGCATTATGGATGATATTGGTGTTAAATTGTACAGGTGTTATGTCGTGGGCCAGGTGCACGTTTTATGACGTCACGTGCCAGGTGTTATGACGTCATGGGCCAGGCGTACAGGCGTTACAATGTCATGGCCATGGTGTACAGGTGTTATGACGTCATGGGTCAGGTGTGCAGACGCTATGACATCATGGGCTAGGGGAGGTCGGTGTGGTGTTGTGGGTGGGGCAAGGGGGGGAAGGAAGGGGGGGAAGGAAGGGGGGGGGGCCGCCGGCTGCTACCGTCGCTGAGGCCGGGCCGGCAGAGTGCGAGGTCCCGGCAGGTGGTGGCGGGGCGCTGGCGCGTGCCCTGCAGCTCGCCCAGCGCCAGCTCCGCCCGGCTCCCCAGGGCGCCAAGCCTCGCCAGCAGCGGCGCCAGCAGCGCAGAGTCCGCGTCGTTGGCGACGGCGCGCTGCGCCACGGGGGAGGGGGAGGGGGGGAGAGGGAGTCCCCTCGCTCGCTTGACCTCGCCCGGTGTGCAGGAGATCGTGGGACTCGATCCCGACCCCTGACCCCTGACGCGTGGAGGTCGCGGCGTGCCTCTCCCTCCCCGTGGCGGCCGCGGGGATTCTTTCTCGGGGTCCTCCGGTTTTTTCCCCTCCCACATTTAGAGTCGACGACGTCGCGCGTTTAGAGTGTTCGGCTGCAATACATCTCCGCACGACGACGATAAGCCACCACTTCGTTGGGCTACATAGCTGACTGGGGCCTTACACCTGGTAAATAAACAATGTTCACACAGGGACTCCTCTACTTACGAACGAGTTAGGTTACAGAGGTCTGTTCATAAGTCGAATTGTTCGTAAGTCCAACTTTACTCCTGTCGATTCCAAACGTGTTGTACGGCACGTACACTGAACACGGGGAATGGCTTTATAAAGTTGTATCGTCTCCCGTAGATGACGATGCCACCGCCGCCATCAATTTCGCGGGGCGGTTGACCTCACGACGCTCGGTCCGAACGGGCTCTGGACGTACGGACCGGGTTTGTTCGTATCTCCGGAAGTTCGCGAGTCGAGTGTTCGTAAGTAGAGGAGTGGCCTGTAGTTTTAGTTTAACGCGGGACACGCGGTCTGCCTTAGGCTGGCTCGAGCCGTATTGGGCTCTCACCGCGTTGGGGGGCCCGGCCGTGCGGGGAGAGGGGGGCCCCCGCGTCGTCGTGGACTCGAGCCCCGAGGCCGCGGAGCCCGCAGAGAGCATCTGGTGCGGAGACAACAGAGGCAAAGATCCCCCGTATAGCCTTCAACAGCCCGCTGGGGGCAAGTGCCATGGGCGAGCAGCTGCTGAGAGGGCCGTCATGGCCGCGAGGGGTGGTGTGGCAGGACCCGCCGCGCCGCCCGCCCACCGGGGCCGCGTAACTTCTCACCTTGACGAGGGCCGCTCCGGTGGCGACCACGCTGGGGCCCGGTGGGCCGGGAGGCCCCGGCCGGCCCTGACGGCGAGCGGCGACGGGAGGAGAGGAAGGAGGAGGAACGGAAAAAAAATATTTCACCGTTTCAGTGACAGCAACAAATATTCTGAATATTTCTGCAGGGTGAGGGCCTCCCCATGCGGTCATCGGAGTTATTTGAGCGACATCCCCCGCCCCGTGCAGCGGTGAAGGTGACAGAGCGCAGCCGCCAAAAGGCGGACAGCTGTTTGAGACGAAAGCTGTCTCTGGTGTGGAACAATCAGTTTCAAAGACAATGCAGATACTGTCAGAGTGTGTTTTGTTGTTTGTATTTTCACCACAAGTATTGTGGTTAATTGCAGACGTGATTCCTTGCAAAAGGTTTCAGTTTGGTGTTTTAACATCTTAACACAACTGTTTTGTTGCCAGAAAAAAGGGGGAAACCCTATTCTTATATTGACACTGGCAATATAATTCGACATTTCGCCGGTAATTACATTCAGCATCATCGGGCGATTTGCCAGAATAGTGCAGCAATGCACCTGCGTCCCGTCTTAAATAGAGCAAGACGACGTCATCAATGAACCCAATCCTCCTGCAATATTTAAGACGGGACGCAGGTGGATTGCTTCACCATTCTGGCAAATCGCCCAATGGTGCTGGATGTAATTACTGGCGAAACGTCACGGCACTACTCACATTGTAGATGTTGTGGATTTACTCTCCAACACACTACACTATACACTACACTACTATACACTACACTATACACTACACTACTATACACTACACTAGACACTACACTACTATACACTACACTACACACTACACTATACACTACACTACTATACACTACACACTACACCATACACTACACACTACACTATACTAGTAACTAATTGGCGTTTTGTTTAAGTGACAAATCACTTGCTAATTGGCTGTCGGCTGGTGGAGGGTTACGACACATTTATACTGGTAGGAACGAAGTGAACCAGCCTACAATAGATTATATCGTCCGTCCGTCCGTCCGTGTAGCAACATCGCCCCCTACTGCAAACACTTGGCAGGATCCTACAAAAACCTTTAGACTCAGTGAGGCTTTCCTGGCTAAACAAGTGTAACATTCCCTTACAAGTGTAACATTCCCTTTTAATTCCATGAGATAGCTTTTAATTTTAAATAGAAACATTTAAATTTAAAGATTTTACATTAATAATTAAAACATTTCAATTAAAAATTTACTCACAGCGGCCTAAAGCCTACAGCTAGGCCTAAAGCCTAGAACTAGGCCTGAAACTCTCCCTTCGTATCGTACCCCCGCGTGTGTGAAAGGGAGTTAATGTTTAACAATGTTACATTCCCCGATGTTTTTAAATAGAAACATTTAAATTTTAAGCTTTTACATTAAAATTAACTCCCAACCCCTCCGTCGTCGGCGGGTCACCAGCCTAGAGCCAGGCCTGGGAATCTCTCCCCCGCTAGGGGTGTATTGGGCGGGGCTACAGCGGCAGGGGGCGGGGCTACGCGGGGCTGGGCGGGGCTACGGCGGCAGGGGGCGTGGCCACGAGGTGGAGGCCGGGGCTACACGGGGTTGGGGCGGGGTTACGTCGGTAAGGGGCGGGGTCGTTCCTACCAGCCCACCCCGCAGGGACCTGTTACTTACGCGATCGAACCCAACAAAAACCTTTATCATGAATAATATTGGTCGCGAAAGCCTGAAACGTGTTCGACTGTCTCCGCGTGATGATCACACGTGCAATGCACGTTGGGAACAACGTAAATAAATGCACGCAGCAAAGAGAAAGGCGACGGTTCAACGAGTCCTTCCCTCGCCGGCCGCACCCTGAGCCGTGGAGTTTGCCTCGGGGTCATTGCGATTGTCGCCCTCCACGTGTCGAGTCGACGTCGCACGCTTCAGACTATTTGGCTGCTGCTGTAAATGTCCACGTGATGATGACGATGGTGATGGGGGAGGTGTTTTGCGACGGCGATCGTTGTGCGATGGAACAGGTCGCTTCTGAAAACAAATTGCGATACGGCGCAGTGACACCTGAACCTGGTAGACATGGAAAAACGTGTTTTTAGTTCGACTGCTTCTTGCGAAACGTGAATGCTGAATTTACCTACCGGGGGGCCGGGCGATCCCTTGGGTCCGCTCTCTCCCTTGATTCCCTTTTCTCCCTGGGGGAAGAGAGACAGGTAACAAAGACAAAGGTGCTCCCCCCCCTCGTATAGCCCACACAGGCTGCTGGGGAAAGTGCCGTCGGCGAGCGGCACCTATGAAGGCCGGACCGGCGCGCGAGGGGTGCTGGTGTGGCCAGCACCACGCCCGGCCGCCTTTTGTCTCCCTCGTAGGGATGGTCGCACACTGCACCAGGTACTCATTTGAGGCTAAGTCGACCGAGGGGAGGCCCAGGACCGGTTCAGATAATCGTCACTGGTGTTAGCCGTGAGCGGGAATTTAACTCGGGACGCCAATATCCTGGCGCAGCACGCTAACCGCTACACCACCGCTCCCCACACGGACACACACACACGCGCGTATGCACGCACACACACACACACGCGCGTATGCACGCACGCACACACACGCGCGTATGCACGCACACACACGCGCGTATGCACGCACACACACGCGCGTATGCACGCACACACACGCGCGTATGCACGCACACACACGCGCGTATGCACGCACACACACACACACACGCGCGTATGCACGCACGCACACACACACACGCGCGTATGCACGCACGCACACACACACACGCGCGTATGCACGCACACACACACACGCGCGTATGCACGCACGCGCGTGCAGAAGTTTCCCGGCAATGGGACCGAGTCGGGACGTGGCACTGGAACGGCAGCCCGGCGTGGAGCCACGAGAGGAATGGGACCGGGCTCCGATGCCACGAGAGACGGAGTGAACCCGGACGGGGTTCGCAGCAGGAAACCCGGCGCCCGTACGTGCACGTGCCTGTGTGTGCATGTGTGTGCACGTGGGTGTGTGCCTGTTTGTGCGTGTGTGTGTGCACGTGTGTGTGTGTGCGTGTGAGTGCGTGCACGTGGGTGTGTGTGCACGTGGGTGTGTGTGTGTGTGCACATTGGGGGGCACAGGTGGTGCCTCTGCCAGTCATCAGTCAACCCACGGGACCTGCTGGGTCTGTCCCGTGACCTCCTGCCAGCGGGCGTTTGACACTTCACGTGACCTTAAAGTGCCCCTAGCCTGGCACAAGCGCCGTGATGACGTCACCACCACTCAGTGGCGAATGGTGGTTGTTGTTGTGTGTGTGTGTGGGTCGTACCTTCATTCCAAACAGTCCCTGTGCAGGCAGAGAGAGAGAACCGACAGAGAGCGGCGAGAAAAACAAATTACAAAAACATCATCACAAGCTCATCACGTGGTTTGTGTTAACTCACTCGCCTGGTCTACAGGAGGTCGCGGGTTCAATCCCGACCTGGACGACGCCTGCTGCTGTATATTTGGAGTTTGCGTGTTCTCCCTGTGGTGGGGTGGATTTTTCTCCAGGGTCCTGACAGTTTTTCCCTCCACATTCAGAATCAGCGTCACGCGTTTAAGAGTTATTTGGCCTCCGCTATAAATTACAAGATCCCCCCCCCCCCGTTTCGCCTTCGCACACTGTCACGGCAAGTGCTGTAAGCGAGCACCTATGAAGGCCGGCACGGCACGCGAGGGGGTGGGAGGCCAGCACCACGCCCGGCCGCCTTTGTCTCCCCAGTGGCGACGTTGACTACATCGCCACCGCTTGCGCCTGCTGTGGTGGTGTGGAACGCTCTCCCTTACGATGTCGGGACGCCACTGGGAGGTACAGGGAGCTATGCTGCACCTCGAAATCATCGACAATGACAAACTCGTTTCTTGAGAGCTGCTTTTCGCGTGGTAGCTTGTTGTCCTTCACCCTGTCGCCTACGATGAGCGCGGCTGGCGACGTACGGTGCGAAAGAAGTTCAACGTACGTACGATGCAACGCCCCGGGCTGCCGCTAACGGCGGATAGGGGAAGCGCTCCGGAGCGCTCGGTGCACCCCGGGTGTCTTCCCTGCAGGTGGGGGGGGGGGGGGGGGGGGGGGGGGGGGGGCACTCACTCACCGGCATTCCTGGGGGTCCCAAGAGTCCCGGGGGTCCAGAGACGCCGCTCAGCCCCTGGAGGCAGAGCGGAGAGCAGCCAGCAGTCAGCAGTGAGCAGTCAGTAGGGGGCCCGGTGAGCGAGCAGTCAGCAGCCAGCAGCCAGCAGGGGGCGCAGTGAGCGAGCAGCCAGCAGCCAGCAGGGGGCGGGGTGAGCGAGCAGTCAGCAGCCAGCAGGGGGCGCGGTGAGCGAGCAGCCAGCAGCCAGCAGGGGGCGTGGTGAGTGAGCAGCCAGCAGCCAGCAGGGGGCGCGGTGAGCGAGCAGTCAGCAGCCAGCAGGGGGCGCGGTGAGCGAGCAGTCAGCAGCCAGCAGGGGGCGCGGTGAGCGAGCAGTCAGCAGCCAGCAGGGGGCCCGGTGAGCGAGCAGTCAGCAGCCATCAACCATCAGCCAGCAGGGGGCGTGGTGAGTGAGCAGCCAGCAGCCAGCAGGGGGCCCGGTGAGCGAGCAGTCAGCAGCCAGCAGCCAGCAGGGGGCGTGGTGAGTGAGCAGCCAGCAGCCAGCAGGGGGCCCGGTGAGCGAGCAGCCAGCAGCCAGCAGGGGGCCCGGTGAGCGAGCAGCCAGCAGCCAGCAGGGGGCGTGGTGAGCGAGCAGTCAGCAGCCAGCAGCCAGCAGGGGGCGCGGTGAGCGAGCGGCAGGGGAGACGGCACCAGCAAGAGGGCGGGGAGATGAGAGGCAGGAGAGCGAGCGGAGCGGAGACGAGTGAGATGAGAGGTGAGTGAGATGAGATGAGAGGCAGGAGAGCGAGCGGAGCGGAGTGAGATGAGGGGGGAGTAGAGAGAGATGAGAGGGGAGTGAGATGAGAGGGCGGTGAGATGAAAGGCAGGAGAGCGAGCGGAGCGGAGACGAGTGAGATGAGGGGGGTAGAGAGATGAGATGAGAGTGAGATGAGAGGGGAGTGGGATGAGAGGGCTGCTACCTGGAGGCCTTTCTGTCCCAGCGTCCCCTTCTTCCCCAGTTTCCCCGTGAGACCCTGGACACACAAACACACGCGGGGGTCACGGTGACCTCCGAGCCCACAGCTGAGCGCCACGGCTGAGCGCCACAGCTGAGCACCACAGCTGGGCAGCGTCACACCCCCTCCCACGGCACCGATGGACTAAAACTGGACGCGATAAAAGTGCCATCGGGGTAGGTCGCACAAAGGTCAAACGCGTCGTAAAACCCGCCACCACCCGACGCAGCCAATTCGTAAGGTTTGTCACCTGAACAGAACGTGGTAATTAGTTACGAGTTCGGCACTAACCGCTGTGCTGGAGAGCAAAACGGCATTTAGAATTTGAGCGACATCGGAATAAAATGTTGCTGTAAAGGCCCCAAAAAACCACCAGGAAGTCAACGAAAATGTTCGGGTCATACCTTGATTCCAGCTTCTCCCGGTTCTCCAGGCTCTCCCTTCTGTCCGGTCTCGCCCTGCATCCAATGGATTCATTAGTTTGATTACTCACTCAATCCCATCGTTACCCCAAAAGGCTATCATTCTCATCGCTATCGACCCGAACCTGGATGCACACAGGCACGGTCCCTTTCCGTCAATTCCACTGCTGGAGGAGGGAATCCCTCACGTCTTGTGGCTCTTGGGAGTCGCTTCACTTTACTTCAACGCACCGGGTGGGCGGATCGGTGGATCAGCGAGTGGGTCAGCGAGTGAGCGAGCAGACAGGGGACAGGGGGCCGCCACCTGTTTCTCGGGATCGTCCTCGTGTTGAGGAGGCAGCTGCTGCCCTGGGATAAATCTGTTCCATCTTCCCAGGACATTAAAACTCCTGTTTATTGTCAGTCGTGCAACGATAATAACGATAACGCATCGCGCACAGTTTTCCACGTGTGAATGATCACTCCCTCGAGGCGATCGCTATCGAGGAGTCCCGCTCAGGCGGGAAGGGTAAGAGTCCCTTCCGCATATGAGGCTCCCGGCGGCATACACAGCAGCAAGCAACACACTGATGCAGTGCTGGATTAAGCTAGTGCGGGGCCTGTAGCAGATGTTGTTATAAAGGGGCCCTAAATAAAAATAAAAACACGTAAAGATTAAAATACATTTTTCACTTGCATAGTAAAGTAATTGTATTTTTTCAACTGCTGTACGGCCAGATAATACGACAAATCGCTAACCTTAAACACCCGGTCATTCATAAAAGTTGAAGGCAATATAGTACTAAGTAATAGAGCAGAATCACTGAACCGGAATTGATAGCTTGAAAGCATTTAGCGTTGGGCCCTTGAAAGTGCGGGGCCCGTAGCTAATACATTTGTAGCTACTTTTGCTACGAGGATTATCCGGCACTGCACTGATGACTCCGCTGTACCGACGAGTCTCTAATGAGGAGGAAACCGCATCCACGTTTACGCCGCTCGCCCCTTTGCTCAAACCCTTGTGAGTCGGCAATTCTAAACAATACATCGGCCAAGCGCATGCAGTTCTGCTGAGTCGGTGGTCGAGCTAAGGCCGAGATATTTTCTTTTTTCACGCGTGGCAGTGGCTGCGCAGATCCCACGCATCGTCAATTTGACCTCGGCCGTGGCGGTGTCACCCCACTCACCTTCTCTCCTTTCCTTCCCGCTTTCCCCTTCTCTCCCCTCAGTCCCGGGATGCCCTGCGTGGGCAAACATGGGCCTCACAAATCGGCATTTAGATTTTTGTTTCAGGCCTCACCAAGCAGAGGAAACAGGTCTCACCAACAAAGGAATTCAGACCTCACCAAGAATGGATGAGGGTTCATAAAAAAAAAGGTCTCATTTGCTCATTCACTCACCAACCCACCCACACTCACTGGCTCATTCACTCACTCACCAACCCACTCATTCATTCACTCACCAACTCGCTCATTCACTTACCAACCCACCCACTCATTCACTGACCAACTCACCCACCAACTCACCTGCTCATTCACCCACCCACTCACTCGTCCACCCATCCACTGGCCCAATAGAGCTACCACCTGTCTGGGTTTCGTCTGTGGTGGACAGGATGCGTGATGCTCACCGGGGGACCCACGGGGCCTGGAATCCCACGAGGGCCTTGGGCTCCCGGTTTCCCCTAAACGCACGCAGCCACGTGCGCACGCAAACACACACAAACAAACACACAAACACACAGAGAAACACACAAGCGCGTGCATACACCAACGCGCACAAGCAGACAGGAACACTCATGATTACAACCAACAAAGAAAAAGATCCCCCGTATGAATGTTGAACTTCTTTTGCACCGTACGGAGCCAATCGCGCTAATCGGAGGTGCGGGGGAAGGACAACAAACTAAACACAAAAAGCAGTTCTATTTTTTTTTTATCTAGACTTAAAAGTGCATAGCTCCAGTGGCTACCTAATATCGCAAGAGTGTTCCAGACGGCCGCAGAAGCGCGTCCGAAAAGCGCTGCGCGGTGATGCGGTGACCGTCTTTATTCGATGGTCAGCCAAAAGACACTGCTGCTGCTGCTGCGAGGATGACCGGAGTTCGCGTGATGATGGCTCATGCACCTTGACGAGATCACCAAAGCTACCGTGGTTCATTTGCGTCAAGCACCGCATGCACGCGCGATGAGTGCGACCTTAACGGTGCCGCCTCAACAGGCGCGGTGGCGCGGCAGGGTCAAAGCGCACGCACCTTGGCGCCCGGCTCTCCGCGGTCCCCTTCGATGCCCGGCTTGCCCTCTTCTCCCTGCAATGGGTCAAGTCGGTTCATGTCAGGCCAGGACCGGCGAGCTAATCGTTGTCAACGGCGACCTGAGCAATGCGGCAAAGCACGTCACATGGGTATGGAGGGTTTACAGGGGCTGCATAGCACGGCTGGTATGACGGTAGCCAGCATGTCACATGGGTAGGGAGGGTTTACAGAGGCTGGCATAGCACGGCTGGTATGATGGTAGCGAGGACGTCAAAAGTTAAAGGGCATCGTGATTCTTGTGTGATGAATAGAACAAATTTAAGTAAATACCACATATAATTGACTTTGTTGAAGCCCAAATGTACGACTACTGCTACTACTGAAGAAAAATTATTTTAAACTTCCATAAAATTTGTCAACATTTAGTTTGGGCGTTTTATGATTCCTCCAGTTTTGCCGACAAACCAAATTAATGAACATATCTGCCACCAGTGCTGGATTTTCCTCGTAGCAAAAGAAGCTACATAAGTAGTAGCTACTACACATGTGTAGTAGCTACACATGTGTAGTAGCTACGGGCCCCGCACTGTCAAGGGCCCCGCGCTAAATGCTTTCCAGCTCTCAATTCCGGTTCAGTGATTCTGCACTTGCTCTATTACTATAGTACTATACCGCCTTCAACTTTTATGAACGACTTGGTGTTTAAGGTTAGCGATTTGTCGTATTATCTGGCTGTATAGTAAATAAAAAAATACAATTACTTTACTATGCAAGTAAAACATTTGTGTTTTAATATTTACGTGTTTTTTATTTATTTAGGGCCCCTTTATAAACAAATGCGACAGGCCCCGCACTCAGCTTAATCCGGCACTGTCCGCTACCACCTGACAACTTCATTCCCATTGGCTCTGCCGTTGGGCGGCGGAGAGTTATTGTACAAAATAAAATTACATACCTCCTACACGACCTCACCCAAAATAAAATATATATATACACTTTGACTGTAAAACACGTGGATATATAAATGTTTTTTTAAGTTGAAATTTCGGGGACTGCACACCCCCGCCCCAGTCCTGGGAAGTGCGTGGTCTGGCCGCTGTGCGGTTGGTGGTGGTTGGTGGTGGTGGTTGGTGGTGGCGATGGTTGGTGGCGGTGGTTGGTGGTGGTTGGCGTACCACGATGCCGTGCGGGCCCCGCGTGCCCGGGTCTCCGTCGATGCCCGTGTCTCCCTGCGCGCAGACAACGGTCGCACGACACCCCACACGGGGACGAGTGACCTCTGAACCCGGGAGAGTTCTCCACATCCTCTGAGCCTGCGCCACTACATTTGATCCCGGTTCTAGATTGAGAGCTCACTTGTCTAGAACTCGTGTTTGTGTTTTAGTTCGTTCTTGTCCCCACCCCCCACCACACCTCCGATGAGCACGGTTGGCTACGTGCGGTGCGAAAGCGGGTCAACGTACGCTCACCCCGAGCTACAAATGCTCTGAAACGAGTGGCATTGTCCTCGTGCTGTCCCCGCCTCATGGCGTTGTGCTCTGGTGTGACGCTGGTGGTGAGACTCGATTCAGATAATCTCCTTGCGAGGTCGGCGGAACCGCGGCTCGCTTCTGGCTCAGCTCGGCAAATGGCCGGTGGAAAGCTACCAGCACCACGTGCTCGGGACGTGCCGGTGATGAAGAAAGTTTAACGCACGCACGCTCGCACGAACGTACGCACGCACGTACGCACGCACGTACGCACACACACACGAACGTACGAACGCTCACACAGCGGAGGCGCACCCGGGTCGCACGCAGGGCAGCTGTGGCCTGGCTCACCTTGTCTCCCTTGAGTCCGTCCCAGCCGTCGGCACCCAGCGGGCCACGGGGCCCCTGTGGAACAACATGAATGGATGCGTTTATATGAATAAAAAAAAATATATAGAAAAAATATATTAAGGTATATATATGTAAATTTTAATGAAGTATAAAAAAACATACAAAATATATCTAACATTTCAAATAAAAGAATACAATTTTTTAAAATATATAAAAAGTTATAGAAAAATAATTATATTTTAATAAAATGTATATACAAATTTTGTTAATAAAAAAATACGTAAAAAGAAATGAATACACTTGGCGGGGAGCAGAGGCGCAGCAGTTAGCGCGCCGCGCTCACGGAGTTTGGCGGCGAGCGTGTAGCGAGCGGCGCCGTGTTCGCCGCACTAACGCAGAGCTTCACGCCACCACGTGCCCAGCGGCCACCCCTGGGCACCGCCGCGGCGTGGGCACGAGGCCTGGCCACGGGGTGTGGGCACGACGCGCCGCCCGCTCCACTCGCGGCCGGCGTCGAAGGTGCCGCGTGACGTCACGCGCCAGGGCCGGGCCGTCGTGCCCAGCGGCCACCCTGGTCAATACTGCGGCGTGGGTGTTCACCGTAAAAAGAACGCGTTTTTCGCATCCGCGGTACTTATCTATCCGCGGTTTTCCTTCGGCATGCCGATTTGCTCACCGCGTGGGTACGTATCCGCGGTTCAGTGCGGTGACCGGCGCTTGCGAGTTCAAGTCGCCCCACAATCGTCGCTCCCACCGTGTATCACCGTCGCATCTCCCGGCTCCCTCCCACCGAACTCTTGCCACCACCAGGTGACGACGGGAGAGAGGGTGGGCAAAGCCTCCCTCCTCCTCCTTCTAACAACCACCTCCCCCATTACCTCGTCCTCATCAACGTTGTGTTATTGTGTTATTTTGTTTGTATGTTATTGTGTGTTTAGTGAATGGGCAACCTCGTTCGGCTTTGGCGAGTGCGACTGCGGTTGCCCTAACCACCCCCGCCCCCCATTGCTCCCAAAGCCGTGGCATTGCCAACCGTGGCAGCTTTCAGGAACCCCGCCCCCCCTCCCCGCGCGGTTGGCGAGGGATTGCTGCACATCATCATCATCATTAACCAGATTGTATGTCACAAACAAAAATATAAAACATTTTTAAAGGCAGGGTGAAAATGTGTCTCACCGGCACGCCGTCTCTCCCCGCCTCCCCCTTCTGCCCCTGGGGTCCTGGTGAGCCCTGGGGGGGGGGGGACATCATGGCACATGGGGGGTGGCGTCATTCGCCGCTCCAGAGCAGAGGTTCGTGGAGTTGTGATCCGGCAGGGCCGCCTCCGGTTCCTGATGCGGTGGTGCGGTGGTGCAGTGGTGCAGTGGTGCAGTGGTGCGGTGGTGCGGTGGTGCGGCGGTGCGGCGGTGCGGTATTAATACCGTGGCGTCGTTGGGAACGAGCCGGCCACTTGTGTGTGCCGGAATCACGGTCCACGTTTTGCCACATTCGACAAAATGTGATCGTAACGTCCCAACGATTGGAGGGCCGGGTGCCCAGAGTGGGAATCAGAATCTGTCTTCACACCGCAGGAGCAATCCGATGAGCTATAAAGCTCTTTCTCACCGATGTCCGGTCGGGGGCACGGGCTCAGAGCGAGCGGCCTCGTGCCGCACAGGGACAGCTGCCACTGGGGGTGCCTGGCCGCAGGGGGCTGATCCGAGGTGCGGAGGACGGGGCGCGGTTCGTAGTTTGCGCTTCCTTCGTACCGTTTGTCGTTGTAACGTTCTGACCTGGCCCCTACTGGACATGTGCGACAAAGAGCTTTATAGCTCATCGGATTGCTCCAGGACGATTCTGAGCCGAGCTGCCGCCTCCGAGTGCCCGCGGAGGAGGAGAGAGCGGCGGGAGGATGCGTCGTTGCCTCGAGCGCCGTTGTGTCATTGATATTAAAACAAAGCAATTGATGACAGCCGGAACTTGTCATGTCCCTGGCAGAGGGGGCAGATTTCCAAGGGCAGCAGCCGCGTCCTCAACAAGAGGATAATCTTCAGAAAATCGGGGCAGGTGGCAACCCAATTTACTGACTGACCGATTGATTAATTCGCTCATCGACTCATTCATTCATTCATTCCTACCTCGGCTCCTGGGATGCCAGGAGGTCCCCGTGGGCCAGGTGGACCAGCAGGGCCTTCAACGCCCTGTGGACGTCACGTACACAGAAAAAGATAAAGGTCCCCCATATAGCCTGAACAGGCTGTCAGGGCAAGAGCGGCTTAATCGTATCTAATTCATTTACCCACCCAGCAGTATAACAAAAAGCAGTAATTGACCACTTCACAACTCCTCCCCCGCTGCCCTTCCTGGCTCCTCCCCCCTTAACCACTATATAAGCTACAGATAGTTTGCTGTGACGGTTTCACCTGAAGACGGAAGCTTGTGTTGCCTCCGAAACGTCGTGATTTAATTGTTTTATTTTTATAAATTTTAATTTCATTTTTTACCTACGTGACTTTACCGAAAGAACTAGAGTATGAATCCTTGCAGTCACGAAAGCTTCAAATCTAGAATTAAGGGCACGTGCTCTTCGCGAGCACCTATTAAGGGCCGGCGTGCCGCGTGGGGTGGTGCAAGGAACAGCGACCACTCCAGGCCGCCTTTGTCTCCCCAGTGCTGAAGTTTATACATCACACAATATACTCACCTGAGCCTGAGTCAAATGCTGCTAGCGAGCACTTCTGAAGACCGGCATGGCACGCAAGGGGGTGGGTGGCCAGCACCACGCCCGGCCGCCTTTGTCTCCCCAGTGGCGATGTTTGCACAGCACACCAGCTACTCATTTGAGGCTAAGTCGACCAGAGGGGGAGGCCCAGGACCGGTTCAGATGTTTCGTCACCGATGTTGGCTGTGAGCGTGAATGGAATGCGACAAGCCACACCATGTGCTGGAGACTTGAACAGCGTCTGTCTCAAGGATCGACTCGACCTTGCCATAGAAATGTGGAACTTCCACCACTGGCTCGCCAGGGCTGTGAAGAGGCGTTGAGCACCAATGACTCAATGCTTATTGGGGAGCCGCAGTGGCTAGGAGATGTTATCTCCCTCGTCTGGCGTGCAGGAGGTCGTGGGCTAGATCCCGACCCCGACGCCTGCTGCTGCTGCTGTATATTTGGAGTTTCCGTGTCTCTCTCCCCGTGGTCGCGTGGATTTTTTCTCCGAGCCCTTCAGATTGTTTGCCTGCTGCTGCTGCTGCCGCTGCTATAAATATCAGCACGACAACGATAAGGAGCTTTGTTGAGCTGTCACTTGCGATAGCCAGGGAGCTTCTGGAAAAACAGATCTCGATAAGCTCGGTGGGGCCCTTACCTGGGAAAAAAAAAACCCGTTGACCTTCGACCCTGACTCGTTAAACCACGCGGCAAACGCGCCCCCCCCTTGCGTGACGCCGTCGCTACGGCACGGGCACCGCCAGCGCCAGGGGGGGCTCTCACCGGGGGCCCTGGCTTCCCCTTGGCTCCCGCATCCCCCTTGGGACCCCGAGGGCCCACGTCCCCCTTGGGGCCATCCACTCCGGCGCCCCCGGGATCTCCGAGCGATCCCTGTGAGTGAGCGCAAACAACAACAACAACAGCAGCGACGACGATGTCGCCTCCTCCACACTGCCCATAGACTCAACACTACCCATAGACTCAACACTGCCCATAGACTCAACACTACCCATACACTCAACACTGCCCATAGACTCAACACTGCCCATACACTCAACACTGCCCATAGACTCAACACTACCCATAGACTCAACACTGCCCATAGACTCAACACTACCCATACACTCAACACTGCCCATAGACTCAACACTGCATCATCAACTCAGCACTGCTGAGTCCATGGGACGAAGTCTTCGCCGAGCCGGGGACCGACGGGGGGTGCTGTGAGCGACGCCGCAATGCGGACGGACTACCGGGCCGAGGTGAAACTTACGCGGCCTCCTCCTCCCCCCGGCTCGCCCTTGTCTCCACGCACGCCGCCTGTGCCCTGCCACAAGGAAGGCACAGACAAAGATCACCCACGCGGCCCGCACAGACGGTTGGAGCAAGTGCTGCTGGCGGACACCTCTGAAGGCCGGCACGGCACAAGAGGGGGTGGGTGGCCAAGACCACGCCCGGCCGCATTTGTATCCCCATTGCTGATGTTTATACACCGCAAAAAATACTCGTTTACAGCTGAGTCCACCTAGGAGAGGTTCAGGATAATTTCTGTGAGGTCTATGGGTCTCTATATGAACATATGGCTCTCTAATGGGAGTCTATTCGTCAATGTAAGTCTATGGGTTTACATGAGCCTCTGGGTCTCTAAATAAGTATATCGGTCTTTCTGTGAGTCTGTGGGGGGTTTCTATGCGAGTCTCTGGGTCTCCATCGCGAGTCACGGGTAACTGGGATGAGACAACGCTTGACAAGCCGGTTTAATCATAGTGTGTGGGTGGCTGAAACTGTTGAAACTAACTAAACTGAACTATTTTCTATTTTATTTTATTTAACAAGCTAAGGCCCCACTGAGCAATGTAGCGCTTTTCCAGAAGCGATCTGGCTATCACAAATAATAGCTCAACGAAGTCGCTTGTCGTCGTGTGGAAATTAATTGCAGCCAGATACTCCAAACGCGTGATGTTGTTGATTCTAAATGTGGAGGGGAAAGCCGGAGGACCTGGAGAAAAGTCCACGTGATCATGGGGAGAGAGACATTGAAACTCCAAATATACAGCAGGTGTTAGGGTCGGGATCGAAGCCACGACCTCCTGTATACCAGGCGTGGTAGTTAACATTTCTTGTTCTATATCCTTGGTTCTTTCGGTAAAGTGACGTAGAAGGGAAATAATAAAATAATAAAAATATAAAACAATACAAAATTCTCACGACATTTCGATTGCAACACAAGCAATCATCATCAGGTGTGAAATCCACAGCAAGAAAATTTGAAAAAAGTGGCGGTTTTTCCTAGAACAAGATATTTACATTTTGATTTAAAGCTTCCCAGGACAGCAGCTGCCTCCTCCACCGTTAGGACAAACCGCGTCTCAACGTGAGTGGATGGGGCCGTGGGTGCTCACCGTGAGTCCGGCGGCTCCAGTCGGTCCCGAGGTCCCGTCTGGCCCCGTGTCGCCCTGACGCACACGGCACACGCACGGCATGCACACGGCACACACGGCACGCACGGCACACACACGGCACGCGCACGGCACGCGCACGGCACACGCACGGCACGCGCACGGCACGCGCACGGCACGCGCACGGCACGCGCACGGCACACGCACGGCACACGCATGCATGGATGTCCTAGGGCGGTACACGATACAAGGCCGCCATTAATGAGCCGCAATACCTTGCTGATCTCGTCAAGAGGCATAAACCATCATCACGCAAACTCCGGTCGTGATGCCTTCTCAACAAGTGCACGGCGGCGAGATGTTCACGACCTCGCCTGGTATGCAGTTGGTCGTGGGTTCAATCGCGACCCTGACGCCTGCTGTATATTTGGAGTTTGCATGCTCTCCCCGTGGTTGTGTGGATTTTTTTCCAGGTCCACTGGTTTTTCCCTCCACATCTAGAATCAACACACGTTTAGAGTATTTGCCTGATGTACATTTCCACGTGATAAGCCACTACGTCGAGCTATCATTAGTGGCCAGGTCGCTTCTGAATAGGAGGACAGCAGCTGCCTCCTCCAGGACCTGCAGCCACCAGTGGTCCGACGTCAACTCGGCGCTCGCTCACTTTCCGTACCTTGTCTCCCGTGTTTCCCTCCTTCCCCTCCGAGCCTCGCTCGCCAAGGGGGCCCTGGACAGATGTTGCAATGAAATGATTAACAAACCAGCACGGGCGATCCCTTGAAAAGCAATGCCTGCTGCCCGCTGCCCTTTGTAACCTCGACAAAAATGTGAGCAGAATTCCGCGTGAGAAGCGGCATGAGGCGTAGGTGTGGTGTGCCGGTAATTTGGTGCCGGGGGCTTAATAGGGGAGGGAGGAGAGGGACGTACGGGGATGCCCAGGGGTCCGCTTGCTCCGCTTGACCCCTGCAGTCCAGGCTGACCCTGGGGGGGGGGGGGGGGGGGGTGGGAGACCACAACCGAGAAGGTCACAAAGACAACGATTCCCCGTGGAGCCTTTCATAGGCTGCCGGGAGCAAGCACCGTTAGGGAGCACCTACGAAGGCCAGCACGGCACGTGAAGGGGGTGGTGTGCGGGCAATACCACGCCCGGCCGCCTTTGTCTCCCCGGTCCTGACGTGTTGAGCACCGGCTTAGCAGCGCCGCACGCCAACCACCACGCCACCGCTCACCCCGCACCGATCCGTGAGCTCCATACAAACCCTCCCCCCTCCCCCGTGTAGCCTTCGCGGACTTTTGTGGGTGCAGGCGCTGTTTGCGAGCGGCACCACCTATGAGCGGGTGGGTTGCCAGCACCACCGCGCCCCCTCTGTGCCCCCCCCCATACCCCGTGCCCCCCGTGGCTGTCCCCTCGTACCAGCAATCCCCGGTTGCCTTTCTCGCCCTTGGGACCAGTCTCCCCCGGGCTTCCCATCGTTCCCATGTGGCCAACGGAGCCCGGAGGGCCAATCTGTCCGGGCGGACCCTAAGAGAGACAGAGAGAGACAGAGAGAGACAGAGAGAGAGACACAGTGAGGCCTTGAGTCACACACCAATGATCTCAATGCCATTGAAATCTCACCGTTGCAAAACGTCAAGCGGTTGACTTCTTATTTATCCAATTCTGTTCGCTTTCTTCTCCAACTGCAGTACTAACCGGTGGTTGTGCCATGGGTGGATTGGTCACCGCCATGGGAATGTGGAATTACCACGGCTGACTTTCTTCTCCAACCTATGGTATCAACCGACATTTTTAGACATGGCGTTCTGCACGCTTCATTTATCATGAAAATATTTCACCCGGAAAATCTCCTGGGGGAGTGGGACATCTCGTCGGCAATGTACGTACAGAGAGGGTAAAACACTATTCTTTCTTTTCATACTTTGATACCGAAAAAAGAAAGTATCCCACGATACCAGCAAGCCCAGCGTGCACGGTGCCCGGGAGTGGAAGCCGCAGCCACGCTGGAGGGAGGGAGAGAGAGGAGATCTCTTTTTGGCGTGGAGTTTCTCTCCGCTTGTGCGTTTGCCCTCTCGTCCGAGCGTGCGGGGGGGGGGGGGGGGGGGGTGCCGCCGTGTGTTCGGAGCGGCCTACCTTCTCTCCGCGTGGGCCCTGCGCTCCAGGTTGGCCTCCCGGTCCGCTCGCGCCCTGCGAGACATCACGACACAAGGTCCCCAACCGTGTTAACTCGCTACTCGCTCGCCTGCGATGCTATTGAAGCTAAAACTGTAGAATTTCACCAGGCGTAAGGCCCCGTTGAGCTGGGCAGCTCTCTCTCAGAAGCCACCTGGCCACCACAAATGATAGCTCAACGAAGTGGGCTTCTCGTCGTCGTCGTGGGGGAATGTATAAGCGGCAGCCAAAACACTGGAAACGCGTGTCTCTAAATGCGGTGGGAATAACCGGAGGACCCGGAGAAAAATCCACAGGACCACGGGGAGAGAGAGACACGCAAACTCCAAATATACAGCAGCAGCAGGCGTCAGGGTCGGGATCTAACCCACGACCTCCTGTACACCAGGCGAGGGAGTTAACATCTCATAGCCACCGTGGTGCAGGAGGTCGTGGATTTGATCCCGACCCTGACGCCTGCTATTTGTGTGTCTCTCTCTCTCTCTCCGGTTTTTCCCTCCACATTTAGAATTGACGTGGTGCGTTTAGAGTCATTGGCTGCTTTAAACTTAGACACGATGATGAGCCACTTCGTTGAGCTATCATTCGTCATAGCCAGGTTGCTTCTGATAAAAAAAACGCTACATAGCTCAGCAGGGCTTGACGCCTGCTAAAATAATAAAACAGGTTGAGTTTAGTGTAGCCTTCATCAGACTGTGGGGGCAAGTGCCGCGAGCGAGTAGCAGCACCTACGAAGGCCGGCACGCAACAAGGAGGGGGGGCGGGGTGGCCGGCACCACGCCCGGTCACCTTTGTCTCCCCAGCGCTGACGTTGACTACACACCGCACCAGGTACCCCCTACGAGCCGCCACGATGATGCCGGGAAGGCGAGGGCCCAAAAAATCCCATCGCTGCTCAGAGCCTCACCTCTCTCCCTGGGGGTCCCGACGCCCCCCGGGGGCCCACGCTCCCCTGCTCTCCGCTGTCTCCTTTGGGAGCCGGCGGGCCCCAGCTCCCGCGCTCCCCCTTGTCTCCCTGCGGACGGGCAGACGGGCAGAATGAAAACCAGCTGGCCGCACCAGTCCACGGGCGAGCCTCCGCTTGTCGACCCTCCGTACGTACGTCGCTGGATGTGGAACTTCTGTCGCGCCGCACGTGGCTAAGCGGGCTCATCAGAGGTGCGGCGGGAGGGCAACAAACTAAACACAAAAACTCCCTTCTCAAGAAATCAGTTTGTCAATCTAGACGATGATGATTCAAAAGGGAACAGCTCCAGTGGCTTCCTAATATCTGAAGGGCGTTCCAGACGGCCATAGGAGCGCATCTGTAAGCGCCGTGCAATGCGGCGACCACCGTCTTTGCACGATGGCGAGCAAAAGGTGTCGATGAAAAGTTTTTTTTTTACAAAACGTTGAGACACAAGATATAGCAAATGCACACGAGGCGGCGGCGTGCCCAGCACCACGCCGCCCGCCCGCCTTTGTCTTCCCAGTTATCGTGTCTATACATCACGCAAGATACTCACCTGAGGCCGCGTCAGACCAAGGGGAGGCCCAGGACGGGCCGTGAGCGGGAACCGAACTCGGGTCGCCAGGTTGTGCGGCGCGGCTCGCTAACCGCGACGCTACCGCTGCCCCCTGACCACCGGGTACCCATCGTGCAAAGACAAAACCCCCCCCCCTCTGTATAGCCTTAACAGACTGTTTGGGAAAGTGCTGGTAGCGAGCAGCACCTATGAAAGCCGGGACAGCACACAAGGGGTTGGGTGGCCAGGACCACGCCCGGCCGCCTTTGTCTCTCCAGTGGCGATGTTTACACACCGTGCCAGGTACTCATTTGAGGCTGAGTCGACACACACAGACAGACAGACGCAGACAGACACACACACACAGACACACACAGCAGATTCTCGGTACAGTAAAAAGCTCACAAAGATGAACGCAACACCCAGAGAGTAAATACCAGAGGTCCTTTAGATCCCGACTCTCCTTTCACCCCATCCCCACCGGGAAGGCCCTAGATGGGAAGACACGGACAGAAGGCCTCACTGAGTCTCAAGACTGAGTCTCAAGACTGAGTCTCAAGAATCGCTTACTGGAGGTCGCTCGCCCGACACGAAACCACAGAGCCAGTCTAGGCATGGGGGGGGGGGGGGCCTCATTTGCTCACCGAGGGCCAAACCAGACTTTCAAATCCCTTTTTGGCGAGCAAGACAGATTTTTCACATCCGTACAGCCTCTGATTGGCACGGTAGCCTACGTACGGTGGCGAAAGAAGTTAACCACGTGCACGCAACGCGTACGCACGTGCGGAGAACGCGTCCAACTTCACGCTGGAAGTCCAACAGCTCGCTCGCGACAAATGAGCCTGTGGGGGCGTTGGGGCGCCGCGGTGGCTAGGAGATGTTAACTACCTCGCCTGGTGTGCAGGAGGTCGTGGTTTCGATCCCGACCCTGACGCCTGCTGCTGTATATTTGGAGTTTGCGTGTCTCTCTCTCTCATCATCATCATGGTGGCTAGGAGATGTTAACTACCTCGCCTGGTATGCAGGAGGTCGTGGGATCGATCCCGACCCTGACGCCTGCTGCTGTATATTTGGAGTGTGCGTGTCTCTCTCTGGCCCCGTGGTCACATGGGTTTCTCTGGGTCCTCCGGTTTTTTCCCTCCACATTTAGAAACATGCACTTAGAGCATTTGGCTGCTATCAATGTCCACATGATGATGATGATTTACTCCGTTGAGCTACCATTTGTGCAGGCGCGGTTCGTCCACTAGCAGCTGGAGATGAGAAATAATTTTTCTAATAAAAAATATTTTTCTATAAATAGTTTTGTTGTGTAAAAATATAATGATTATTTGAACGTGAATTGCCTAATAAAGATAACATTTTAAGTTGTTCACATTAGAAACTGCTGCAACGTCACAGTCTGATTTGTGCCTCGGGGAGGCATCGGGGCGACTGTGAAGACGTCCCAGTGAGAGATCTCCCGTCTTCAGTGCGAGGAAACAACAACAACAACATCTCCCGTCTTCACAGTCACTGCGATGAACTTCGCCGCGTAGCCACGCCGCTTGAGACCCATTCAGGGCGGTGAAGGAATGCGCCCGTGGCTGTGACGACGACGACGTCAGCACGCGAGGTCGCACCGTGGTGCACACTGAGCAGCAGCTCACGGCTCGTGGAAGCGGCGTCACTCACCTGCTCCCCGTCGAGCCCGGACACTCCTGGCTCCCCGGGGGGGCCCCGTCCTCCCTGGCGGGCGGAGAGACAAACGAGGACGAGAAGAGCGGAGTTTACTCTGCCAGGGTCTTCTGTGTCGTCAGGAACTTCCTTCGCACCGTACGTAGCCAACCGCGCTACATCGGAGGTGCGGTGCTGAGTCTATGGGCAGTGTTGAGTCTGTGGGTAGTGTTGAGTCTATGGGCAGTGTTGAGTCAATGTGTTGTGTTGAGTCTATGGGCAGTGTTGAGTCTATGGGTAGTGTTGAGTCTATGGGCAGTGTTGAGTCTATGGGCAGTGTTGAGTCTATGGGTAGTGTTGAGTCTATGTGTTGTGTTGAGTCTATGGGCAGTGTTGAGTCTATGGGTAGTGTTGAGTCTATGGGCAGTGTTGAGTCTATGGGCAGTGTTGAGTCTATGGGTAGAGTTGAGTCGATGGGCAGTGTTGAGTCTATGTGTTGTGTTGAGTCTATGGGCAGTGTTAGTCTATGGGCAGTGTTGAGTCTATGGGTAGTGTGGAGTCTATGGGCAGTGTTAGTCTATGGGCAGTGTTAGTCTATGCGTTTTAATGGGTATCTATGAGTCGCTGTGTGTCTCTATGAGTCTGGATCTCTATGGGTATCTATGAGTCTCTGTGCGTCGTTATCCGTTGTTACGGTTTGTTCCGGACCACCACAGTCACACGCCGCTACTGGAGAGTTTAAGTTTCCATTTGTGATGTTGTTGTGGTTGTTGTTGTTGTTGTGGTTGTTGTTGTGATTGTTGTTGTTTTATTACCACATCTCCCTTGTCTCCAGGTTGGCCGTCCAGACCGGGGTCACCTTGTTCACCCTACAAACATGGCACACACGCACACACACACACACGGCATGCACACACACACACGGCACACACACACACACGGCACACACACACGGCACACACACACACACGGCACACACACAAGGCATAAACACACCACGCGAACCGTGAGAGCCTCGTCGGGACGAGCTTGGCTCGGATTTGCAATTTGGGAAAAGGGAAAAAAACTGGGAGCATGGGAAGGGGAAGTGGGGGAGGGGGGCATGGGGGGGGGGAGGTGGGGGGAGGTGGGGGGTGCATGGGGGGGGGCGGTCACTCGGGGTGGGGGTCGTCTCACCTGTAGGCCCAGCGGCCCGGGAGGCCCTCTCGGGCCTGCGGGGCCGAGGGTCCCGGGCGGGCCTCGCTTCCCCGTCTCACCATCCACTCCGGGCTTTGCAGAGAGGCCCTACAGGTGGGGGGGGGAAGAGGTGAACGCCGTGGGGGGGGGGCGGCCCGTCCACACCCCGCGACGTCACTTCACGTTGGGGTGGGGTGGGGGGGGTAGAGGGGGGCGAGCTGGCAGCTGATGCCGCCGCTGCGTTTGACCGCCCCGACAAGCGAGGAGCCGCCGCCGCCGGTGGGTGTCGTCTCCGGAGGCTGCCCGGGCGGCCGTACTCACCGGCTGCCCTTGGAAGCCCTTGGCTCCAGGCTGCCCTGGCTTCCCCTAGAGGCGGGCACAGGGGGCACAGGGGGCGTCGCCGATCAGGGGGCTGTCGGCGCAGCGCGCGGCGATCCCCGTTGCCGTTGGGGTTGCGACGTCGGCGGCGTCAAGGTTCGGGCTCTTACACGGCGGCTACGCACGCGGCCTGCAAGCCAGGTCTGGCGGATCGCACGCCGATGTCGCGCCAAACTCCCTCCCCCTTCCCCGGGGGGGGGGGGGCGGGCATCGAAGAGCCGTAAGCTCCCCCCCCCCTCCCTCAACTCGCCAGGTCGAAGGCGACGCGGACAAAAATGTACGGGGATAGAGCGTTTCCCCCTCGCACGCGTTGTTTTTCTCCGGGTTCTCCGGTTTCTTCCCACACGTGTATGAACGCTCATTATTTGGAGATTGCGGTGTCTCTCTCTCTCCCTGTGGTCGGCTGGTTTTGTCTCCGGGTCCTCCGGTTTATTCCCTCCACATTTTAGAATCGATGTCACGCATTTAGAGCAATTTGGCTGCTACAAACTTCCACGTGACGATATTGATGACGACAAGCCCACTTGGTTGGACTATCGTTTGTGACAGTCAGGTCGCTTCAGAAAAAATATCTATAAAGCTCAGTGGGCGTTAACTCTTTGAAATAGCAAGAGTAGTTTAGTAGTCGTGGTAGGGTTATGGTTAGGTCTGCACCACGCACGCTCCGCATGTCTAGGACTCGCGCGCTGCCCACGCTGTCGTGGCGTGTCGACTCGGGCGGGTCACTCACCTGGGGACCTGGCTTCCCGGAGCTTCCAGGGTTCCCTCGGGGTCCCTTCGAGGGGGAAGAAGACACATGAGGCTCAAGAGCAACGCTTGTTCTGCGTTCCACCGTCGCGTGAGGTGTCCACTGGAGTTGTGAACCCTCCACCGCCAGACACGGCCAAAAAACAATCGGGTTGCCACCGGAACAAATGTGCCGTTTTTTTTTTTAAGCAAACCGGCTCGTACCGGGCTCAAGCAAAAAAAAATTACGTGTATATAAAAAAAAGTATAAAGTATTCAATTATATTATTAGACAAATTATGAACCTATAAAAAAATCAATAAAAAATTTAAATGTATATAAAACTAAACATACAACAAACAGAAACGATTACCAAGATAATAGCAAGACACAAATGTTTTGGTCACTGCTGATGTCGTGAACGCGGTCGACACTGCTCCAGGCCCACCTTAAGTCCGGGTTGTCCCCATTTCCCCGGAGCTCCCTGCTTCCCCACCTCGCCCTGCCACGCACATCGACAGCAGATTCATCATCATCATCGTCGTCATCATTGTCGTCGTCGTCGTCATCATCATCGTCTTCGTCATCATCTTCGTGATCATCGTCTTCGTCGTCGTCATCATTGCAATCATCATCGTCACAACACAACACACGAGCGTCATCATGTAAAACATACAACTTGGTAATGTTGATGCTGCTGGTCGACAGTGGTGCATGAGCACCGACCACCCACGATCACCCACTACCCACCACCCACGATCACCCACAACCACCCACCACCCACCACCCACGATCACCCACTACCCACCACCCACGATCACCCACAACCAACCACCACCCAGGAGGACCGTTAACCCACGAGCACAATCACCCAGGTAGATTCTGTGTGGCCAGGCGAGAGACTCGGGGGACCAGCCTGGGAGTGTCATTGGGCAAGCGGCCCAATGACACTCCCAGGTAGGATGGGGATGGTTTAGTGTTGTGTTTGTTTGTGTGTTGGGTGATTTGTTCACCTTTCATGTACTTTGTGTAATGCGGGCGTAAACGGCCCTCCGGAGGTGACGTCATGAGGGGAGGAGTTAGGTCACGTGGGGGGAGAGGGGTTAAGCTATAGAGGGAGGGGAACCGGAAGAGGAGAGGGAGTGACGGGGGACCAGGAACGAGAGAGGCCACGAAGGGCGAAAGCGGAGGGTGGCGAGATCGCCACGAACACAGGGGAGAGAGGATCGGCACCGTTGGCCAGCGGTGACCGACCCGAAGCAGCGAGGAGGCTGCAGTCAGCAGCGGGGCTGAGTACGGAGTCAGCAGCGGGTCTGCATCCGGAGTAGCAGCCAAGAGGGTCTGCATATAGGGTTAGCAGCAGGGGTCTGCATAGGGAGTCAGCAGCGAGTCTGCAGGGAGAGAACGGAGGTTACAGTAGAGGAAGAAGAGAGTCTGCGGGGAGAGAAAGGAGGCTACAATAGCGATAGCAGCTGGGGGCTACAAATACAGTGTCTATAACAGAGTGCCGTGTGGGAGAAGACAAGAACCCAATAAAGGACACGAAGTCAGAGAGAAGCGTCTGAGTCCTTTTATTACACTGGAGTCAGAAGTGAAACGGCATGGCGAAACAATTGAGGAAAAAGAATATTCCATCTCCGGCGTCGGCGTCATCTTCAGACGACGACGATCTTCCTCCTGCGGTCGGCTTGACTTCGGCAGAGGAAGAGATCCGTGAGGGTCCGGGTGTCGAGGAGGTTGCCGCTTCGTCGGACCCATCTGCTTTAAAGGACGAGGATTTAAGATGGACCCGAATGGCGGAGCAACTGGCAACTCTCAAAAACGTCATCACACAGTTGTGTGACCTTGTCACGCCAAGGGCGGCGTTGGAAGGTGATGGTGGTGATCGGCAGGAGCCCGGGTCGTCTTCGTTGGTGCCGCCATCGGCCACGCGGCGTGAAGACGCCATCTTGGGCGTGGCGCACCACGGAAAGCGGGAAGCCGCCATTTTGGGACCGCCGCGACGGTCGTCCGCCATCTTGTCGACACCGCGTTGCGACGCCTTGTTGAATTTACCACCGGAAGAGTCGGCGGCGGAAGGAAGCAAGCCAAGGAGTCGCAGTCGTCACCTTACAACCGTCAAAGAATTCTCCATCGGGGGCGATTGGAGTGCGTTCGCCTGTAGATTTTTGGCGGCGGTACGATCAGCAAGGTGGACGGACGCTGAGGCGCTGGAGGTGCTTCCGACTCTTCTGGATGATGAGTCCGTCCGTTTTTTTCGCTCTATAAAAGCTGCGAAGAAGAAGACTCTGCGAGGGGTGTTCGATGAAATGGCGGACGCGTACGAGCCACCGGATGACGCCCATCGCCGATTCGTGCAACGGCAACGCGCACCTGAGGAGTCACCTGTGGCGTATAGGGGCGCCGTGTTGGAACTCGCTATGGCCGCTTACCCGGAGACGGAGCCTGACCTGCTGGAACCTCTCATCTTGGGGAAGATGTTGGAGTTGTCCCGAGATCTTGGCATTCCTATGCCGGCGTGCGGTCACGAAAAGCTCACGTCCCGGGCCGCGGCCAAGTGTCTGGACGCCCAGTTCAATCTCCGGCGCTGGAAACAGGTCACGGCGTGGACGGGCGGTCCTGTCGTCGATGGGGGTGCCGTAGGGTGGGACCCTACAAAGGCCGTGTACGTGCCGGATGGGAGCGGCCAGAAGGAGTTGTCGGCTGCCTCTGCTCCGTGGCCGGCCCGAAGCGGGCCGGGGCCGCGGGCTGCGCCGCCGGTGCGGCCGCGTCGGGACGGGGTGCCCGCTGCGCGCCGCTCCGACGTCGAGTGCTTCCGCTGCGGCCGTCGGGGCCATTATGCCAGGGACTGCTGGGCCCGTGTTCCGGGTCCGCCCCAGCAGGAGGCCTCGACAGCGGACGCTTCAAAGAAAGATCCTCCAGCACAGGCAAGTCGGTGCGCACCAGACACCCGGCAAGGCCCGACACCTCACTCATCGCCGTTGTTGTGCGACGCGGATGTTGTTAAATACGGGAGGCCAATATCTGCGCCTTGTCGCTCGATAACGCAGTGGCGTAAGCTGGCTCGGCGGGTTGTCGCGGCCGCTACCGGTTCGTCCACTGTACCTGGGTCGATCCAAGGGGTGGACGTACGTATTTTGGTGGATTCCGGTGCGTCCGCGACCATTATTTCGGATGTGATATTCCATCTTTTGAACATCCCACCGGGGGCCGTGAGGCCGGCTTATGCTTCCTGCATCGCTGCGAACGGGGGTAGTATGGGCATCGTGGGACAGGTGGACGCTAACATTTCTATCGGGGGAGTCTCGGCCTCGGGCGTTGTGTTAATTTCGAGGTCCCTGGCGGTTCCTTGCCTGTTAGGTACTGATTTTTTGGCTAAGATGCCCATTCTAATTCGAATCAATGAAAATTGCATTGAACTACCGGGGGGCCGGAAATTGGCATTTTTACAGTCCGCCTGGGGGCGACCGGCTCCTGTCGCCCAGGTGCAGGCGTTATCGGAAGTTTCGGTTGATATTCCACCTGGCTCGCAGATGCTCATTCCCTTACGATATCGGAAGCCGGTTCCGGGTCGGCAGGGTGCTTTTGGGATTTTGCTGTCGCCGTCCGCCGCTGTTACGGGCGGATTGGCGCTAGTGGGGGCGCAAACTATTGTCCGTCCTGATCAGCGGCCGTTTTTGCAAGTGTTAAATGCAAGTACTGAAAGCGTGTGTGTGCCGGCTGGTACCGTTGTGGCACATGCCACTACGGCGTTTACGGCTCAGAGTGATCTGCCGGACGGAGGGCTGGTGGGTGGTGTTTCACACGATGGAGGGGTGGATGATCGTTGGATCGCTGAATTATGTGGGGAAAATTCGGCCCTTTCCGCCGAGCAGCGTTGTGCGATTCATAAATTACTATCGAGTTATTCGGATGTGTTTAGCTCGGACGATTTGGACTTGGGACGCACCTCGCTGCTTTATCATCACATCGACACAGGGGACGCTGCCCCTATCCGCTTGAACTCGCGTCGGATGAGTCCGGCTGAGCGTGAGCATGTTCGAGGGGCAGTGGATGACATGTTGAAAGCGGATATTATATCTCCGTCTAATAGCCCGTGGGGCGCGCCTGTTGTGTTGGTTAAAAAGAAGGATGGTAAATTGCGATTTTGTGTGGATTTTCGGAAGTTGAATAAAGTGTCGGTGGCAGATGCGTACCCCCTGCCGCGCATGGACGATTCTCTCGACGCCTTGTCAGGGGCTAAGTTTTTTTCAACGCTGGATCTCTCTTCGGGCTTCTGGCAGCTCCCCCTTGACGAGCCCTCGCGAGAAAAGACAGCTTTCCGTACGCCGCAGGGGTTATTCCAATTTAACTGTCTTCCGATGGGGTTGAATGCGGCCCCTGCCACTTTTCAGAGGTTGATGGAGTTGGTATTAACGGGGTTGCAGTGGGAGACATGTCTGATTTATTTAGATGATATTATTGTCTTCAGCAGCACATTTGATGAGCATTTACTGCGGTTGGAGGCTGTATTCACCAGAATGCGTTCTGCTAATTTGAAATTCAAGCCTAAGAAATGTCACCTACTGCAACACTCCGTTCGATACTTGGGACATATTGTTAGTGCGGACGGGGTGGCCACGGATCCGGAGAAAACTGCGTGTGTCCGTGATTGGGCAACCCCGGCCACGGTGGGTGATGTGCGTCGGTTTTTGGGGTTCGCCTCGTATTATCGGAGGTTTGTTCTCAATTTTGCTACTATCGCGAGGCCCTTGCATCTCCTTACTGGGAAAGGACACAAATTTGCTTGGGGACCGCCGGAGGAGGCGGCGTTTCGGAGCCTGCGCGATTTACTGGCTACTGCACCGACGTTGGATTATCCGGATTTTGAACATCCTTTCATTCTGGATACTGATGCAAGTGACACTGGTATTGGGGCGGTGTTGTCCCAGTCGAAAGGTGGAGTTGAGCGCGTGGTGGCGTATGGGAGTCGGGTTTTGTCTCCCGCGGAAACCCGCTACTGCGTCACTCGCAGGGAACTTTTGGCCATTGTTTTTTTTCTCCGCCAATTTCGACCGTATCTGTACGGTCGGTCGTTTATTGTCCGCACGGACCATGCGGCCTTGCAGTATGCTCTTAAGATGGACCAGCCATCCGGACAATTGGCGAGGTGGCTGGACACGCTGCAAGAATTTTCCTTCCAAATTCACCATCGGAAGGGTGTGCGTCACGCTAATGCGGACGCACTTTCCAGGTTGCCGCAACAATCCCCTTGTGCGTGTGTGTCGGGGACGCATAGGTGTGGACCGATTCGGCTCCCCCCTCAGCCTGTCGCGCTGGCGGTGGATGTTCTTGAAACTCCGCTTACACCGGGACCGGTTGATGGGGGACCGGCTGATGGGATTTTGCGTCTCCCGCGGTCTGTGTGGATTCGGGAGCAAATGTTGGACGATTGCTTGGTGACGTTACGGAAACAATCAGAGAAGGCAAGTAAGGGACTCGGTGCGGATGGTGTACCGGAAACTGCTCTCCGAGATGGGTTGCTGATGTGGAGGGAAGGGATACAGGAACACTGGCGTCTCGTTGTACCTGCGTCATTGCGGTACGAATTGATTAGATCTCTGCACTGTGACACACTTTTACATCTGGGGGTGCAGAAAACCCTATTGACGCTGCAGCGAGACTATTATTGGCACGGCATGACGACAGATGTCGTCGGTCACGTTCGCGCGTGTCCCGATTGTGCCCGCCGTAAGCCGCCTAAACATCCATATGTTCCGCCGATACAATCGATTCAAGTATCTCGGGTTAATGAGCTGGTGGCGTTAGATATTTTGGGACCCTTTCCGCCATCCGCTAAGGGAAATAAGTATTTACTGGTGGGGGTGGAGTACCTCTCCCGCTGGCCGATGGCCTGGCCTTTGCCTGACCAGTCAGCGGCGTCTATCACTGACGCCTTTCTATTTGGGTATGTAATGGACAAGGGGGCGCCGGAGAGGCTCCTTACAGATCAAGGGCGTAACTTTTCGTTCAAATTGTTGGGGGAGGTGTGTGCGGCTCTTGGAACTAAAAAGATACGGACGTCCCCCTACCACCCACAAACGGATGGTATGGTGGAACGGTTGAATCGGACTCTGTCCGCCATGCTGTGCCATACAGTCGGGGAAAATCAATCTGATTGGGATCTGCATATCCCTGGGGTGCTTTCGGCGTATCGCATGACGCCGCACGCGGCTACTGGATACTCGCCGTTCTTTCTTATGTACGGCCGTGAAAATGTGCCGCCGATTAATGAGCAGTTGGGAACCGGTGCGAGGGGACCTGTTAAGCCTCTTCCTGAGTATATTCAGGACAACGTTCGCCGTGTCACTGAGGCGAGGGAAAGAGCCCGCATGGCTACGGCCAAAGCCCAGGCCAGGAATGAGCGGTGTGCTCGACGTTCAAAGGGGGAGTGCCCCTGGAAAACGGGGGACCTGGCCTGGCTTCATTGCCCACAGGTGCGGCCAGGTACCTCTCCTAAATTACATAAACCATGGCAAGGTCCGGTCCGCCTCATTGAGGTTCCCAACCCACAGTCGGCGCGTGTTCGAGTTGGGTCGCGGCGCTGGTTCGTGCATACATCCCGGTTGAAGCCATACATTGCCCCGCGACCGGATGCGTCATCTCCCGAGGTTGCCTTGCCGGGGTCTGTTGTTGCCGACTCGCCCTTGCCTATGCCTGCTGACCTTGCAAGAGCGCCTGTCGTACCCCTTACAGACAAGCCGGCCGTGACGCCGCAGGATGGAGGACGTTCCGCTCGTGGGATGCCGACCGGAGCCGCTGAACCTACGGGACCTGCAGCTCTTCCTATCCCTCCGCGGACGCGATTACGGGACGTCTCTGGACGCGACCGGGACAGTGGCGGGCCTCCAATGGCGACGGATGAACTCGCTCCCGTCGCCCTTAAAACCCTGCCACGTTCCCGCTCGGCGGGTGGGCTGCCGACCGTCCGGGACGGCCCGGCTACCCGTACTCGCTCGAAATCCCTCACGTTTCGTTAAATTGTGTTGTGTTGTGTTCTTGTTATATTGTTGTTGCATGCTTCGTGTCTTTTTACGTGTTGGTCCTTTACACCCGCATTGCTTGTCAAGTTGCATTTCAGCCGAGGTCGGCTGGATTTTCTTTATGGGGGAGGGTGATGTAATGCGGGCGTAAACGGCCCTCCGGAGGTGACGTCATGAGGGGAGGAGTTAGGTCACGTGGGGGGAGAGGGGTTAAGCTATAGAGGGAGGGGAACCGGAAGAGGAGAGGGAGTGACGGGGGACCAGGAACGAGAGAGGCCACGAAGGGCGAAAGCGGAGGGTGGCGAGATCGCCACGAACACAGGGGAGAGAGGATCGGCACCGTTGGCCAGCGGTGACCGACCCGAAGCAGCGAGGAGGCTGCAGTCAGCAGCGGGGCTGAGTACGGAGTCAGCAGCGGGTCTGCATCCGGAGTAGCAGCCAAGAGGGTCTGCATATAGGGTTAGCAGCAGGGGTCTGCATAGGGAGTCAGCAGCGAGTCTGCAGGGAGAGAACGGAGGTTACAGTAGAGGAAGAAGAGAGTCTGCGGGGAGAGAAAGGAGGCTACAATAGCGATAGCAGCCGGGGGCTACAAATACAGTGTCTATAACAGAGTGCCGTGTGGGAGAAGACAAGAACCCAATAAAGGACACGAAGTCAGAGAGAAGCGTCTGAGTCCTTTTATTACATTTGCACAACTGTCGTGTGTTTTGTAACTGCTTGTCGTTGTGTAATGACCGAGATAAGACCGCTTGCCCGATACGAGAGTACGGTCAGACACACAGCCAGGAAGCAGGCCGAGGCCTCACCTGGGTGCAGACAGGCCTCGGCAGTGATTGGGCGGCAAGATCCAAAGGGACTGCAGGAAATACTTGAAAGGTAAAAAGGCGGAAAAGCGAGTGGTGGACTGCAGAAGGACGGTTGAGAAAGGCTGGTGGGGAAAGGTCAGGATCGGCCGAAGGGAGTGGGGTGATGGAAGCTTCCAGAAAGGGGGGGTGGGGGGGCTTGGGAGGTACAAAGAAGACAGCACGGGGAGAGACAGGGGACGCTAGAGGGGAGACGGAGCTCAAACCTCAAGAACCAGCCCTGGGCAGCGTTCGTGCTGTGTCTGAATAAAGGATCTTCAAAGTCACGACGTGTTTGGGCATCACTACACCCGCAACGTTCTTACCCCGTGCCCCGACTGGACGTCTGTTACAAAAGAGCTTTATAGCTCATCGGATTCCTCCTCCAGTATAAATAAACATTCCGATTCTCAAATCAAGATTCTGATTCTTATCGGTCGCCCATCCCGAGCACGGCCCGGCAGGTCGGGCTCAAACCCCTGAAGGAGCCTGTGTGAGGCCTCGCACCTTGGGCCCTGGGGAACCGGTGACGCCTCCCTCGCCACCGCTGCCGGGAAATCCCTGCAAGGAGAGGACGGGTCAGTGGCGCCGGGAGCACTGCGAGGAGGACTTCTCAGAAGTAATCCGTTACCAATCACTTGGGGGGAGGGGGAGGGAAAAGGTCTGAGTGACTACCAGATTAAACGAGCGACCAGAGAGTGTTTCCCTCACCTTTTTTTACGGTCCCTAAAAAGGCGGTGGTGGAAATTCGGCATTCACATGGCGGGGGGTGGGTTAAAGGCGGAAGACAACCATTGTTGTGGGGTGCCACGATGTCTAGGAGATGTTGACTACCTCGCCTGGTATGCAGGAGGTCGTGGGTTCCATCCCGAGATGTTAACCACCTCGCCTGGTTCGATCCCGACCTTGATGCCTGCTGCATAGTTGGAGTTTGTGTGTCTCTTTCTCTCCCGTGGTGACGTGGATTTTTCTCCGGGTCCTCTGGGTTTTCCCTCCACACTTAGAATCAACGTCACCCGTTTAGAGTAACTGAGCTGTGTACCTCTTTTGAGAAGCGACCTCGCTATCACAAATGACAGCTCAACAAAGTGGCTTATCTTCACCACGAGGGAAATTATTGCAGCCAAATACTCTAAACGCATCTTTCTAAATGTGGAGGGAAAAACCAGGAGGACTCGGAAAAAAATCCACACGACTATGGTGAGAGAGACGTGCAAACCCCAAAGAAACAGCAGCAGGCGTCAGGGGTCGGGATTAAACCGATGCACTCCTGCGTACCAGGCGAGGTGGTTAACATCCCCTAGACACTATGGTCACCCCCCCCCTCCACTACCTGGGTGTCAACCTGAAACCTGCCGATTGCGAGGCCGCTCGCTGTACCACGGGGGAGCCACATGGGACGGGCTGATTGCGTAACCATCACACAACGGAGAGCCGCCAGACATCCCGCTGGGTGAGGTTGGAGTAGCCACCCGTGTACCCCGCTGTGGGTGCGTGTCGGGAGCGGGTGGCGCTCGGGATAACTTACATAGGTGCCGACGGGGCCTTGTATGCCGGGCAGTCCTGGCTTTCCTGGGAGGCCCTGAGAGAGGAAGTTTCACACAGATCCATGTGCACAGTGCAACACTCAAACTCAACGCAAATATGTGTTTTTGTTACCAGCCAAGGCGCCACAATGAGCTGCGTCGCTCTTTTTCAGAAGTGACCTGGCCATTACAAATGACAGCTCAACGTAGTGGGCTCATCATCATCACGTAGGAAATGTAAAGCAGCAGCCAAATTGCTCGAAACGCTTGGCGATGTCGATTCTAAATGTGGAGGCGAGAAACCGGAGAAAACTCCACGCGACCACGGGGAGAGAGACACGCAAACTCCAAATATACAGCAGCAGGCGTCAGGATCGGGAACGAACCCATGACCTCATGTGTACCATGCGAGGTAGTAGACATCTCCTAGCCACCGTGTACAGATAAAGACACAGCCCTGCAATTGCTTGACTCGTGCCACCGCTGGTCGAAGGTCCTCCACCGGAGCGAAGCCTCTGGGGTATTACAACGTTGATATTTGCGTTGCCTCTGTTGCTGTTGGCCTTGTGGCGTTGTTCTCCAGCCTACCACCGGTGGTGGTGAGACGAGGCCATGAAGGAGGCTGTACCTCCGGTGTAGGCCCAATCAGTTTCAAAGACGATGCGGACTTTGTTATCATCATCATCATCAGAGCCACGCTCGTTTTGCCAGCAGCGTGGTGTGTGGTTAATGCACACTTGATGATGCCTTGCAAAAGGTGTCTATTTGCCGTTTGAACATCTTAACACAACTCCTGTTCTATTGCCAGAAAGGCCGAAGCCTATTCCGATGTTTTGTTTGTCATCTAGAGCGGTAATTGGCCACAGCAATCGCCGGATAATCTACAACGGGGATGCGGCGACGGTGGTGTTGGCGTGCGAGGCGCGGCGGTGATCCCAACCGTGCCGTCTCACCTTCTCCCCCGGGTTGCCCGCGTTGCCGGCGGCCCCCGGTAAACCGCGAGGTCCCTGCGAGTCCGACCACAGTCAGTCACCACCGGGGTCAGCGCTGCGGCAAAACCAGCGCTCTGCGTGCCGCCCTGAGCGGAGTCAGCGCTCGAATAATAACGCCACGCTCGCACGGCGCTCGCTCTTTGCTCTCGTAGAGACGGAGAGAGAGAGGACGACTCAGAGAGAGAGAGGACGACTTAGAGAGAGAGAGAGAGGACGACTTAGAGAGAGAGAGAGAGGACGACTCAGAGAGAGAGAGAGGACGACTCAGAGAGAGAGAGGACGACTGAGAGAGAGAGAGAGGACGACTCGGAGAGAGAGAGAGGACGACTCAGAGAGAGAGAGGACGACTCAGAGAGAGAGAGAGGACGACTCAGAGAGAGAGAGAGGACGACTCAGAGAGAGAGAGAGGACGACTCAGAGAGAGAGAGAGGACGACTCAGAGAGAGAGAGAGGACGACTCAGAGAGAGAGAGGACGACTCAGAGAGAGGACGACTCAGAGAGCGAGAGAGGACGACTCAGAGAGAGAGGACGACTCAGAGAGAGAGAGAGGACGACTCAGAGAGAGAGGACGACTCAGAGAGAGAGAGGACGACTAAGAGAGAGAGAGGACGACTCAGAAGAGGTGCCAGGAGGAGGAGGAACCACACAGACGAGGGAGTGGGAAGGCAGCGGCAGCCACGCGCTGGTGAGGAGCCGACCCCACCAACGATCGCCCCAGCTCTGCCGCTCCTCTGCGTATGAAGTTGTGGTCGGCCCAATGACTGAATGCCGGGAGGAAGGAAGCCGGAGCTCCCAGGAGAAACGCCCGCGTGCGAGGAAGCAACGTTGTATCCCCGCGCAGGAGGGGACAGTGGAGTCAACGTGTTGGCTGCGTCGCCGTCTCCTGGCGAGCCGCGGGGTTGCAGCTCCTCCGCTAGGACATTCGCCCCCCTGCGCCTGGTCGAGCCGTGGATGACCCCCGTGACTTTGCGACCCCGTGACCCCGTGACCCCCCCTGCCCAAACTTACCGTTGGCCCCAGGGAACCGTCCACCCCCCTGAGTCCCGGTAGGCCTCTGAAGCCCTACAGGGGGGTGGCACGGAGAAGAAGAACCACCATCATCATCATCAGCAGCAGTAGCAGCATCAGCATCATCATCAGCAGTAACAGCATCATCATCAGCATTGTCAGCGTCATCAGCATTGTCAGCGTCAGCTATATCAGCATCAGTATCATCAGCAGTCGCAGCATCAGCATCATTAGCAGCAGCAACATCATGATCATCAGCAGCATTAGTATCATCATCAGCAGTAGCAGCATCATCATCAGCAGCAGCATCATCATTAGTCGTAGCCAAATCAACATCAATATCATCAGCAAAGCAGAATCTACACATTCATCATCATAGTAATTGATGGAATCATCATTCATTTTCAATGAACGGCATCAGCATCAGAATGATAATATCAGCAGCAGGAGAATCATAATTAGAATCATCATTTTCATTATCATAAGCAAACATCATCATCGTCACCGCGAGCGCCACCACGGCTGGGTAGCAGCAACGACGTGACGTGTGTCCTGTGACGAGGGCTCGTGTCAGAGTAGACTGCACAGTCAAGCCGGTCGTGTTGTTTTCTGTTGTTGTTGTTTGGTGTTGTGTGGTGTTGTTGTTGTTTTCTGCTGCTGTTGTTGTGTGGTGTAGTTGTTGTTTTCTGCTGCTGTTGTTGTTGTGTGGTGTAGTTGTTGTTTTCTGCTGTTGTTGTTGTGTGGTGTTGTTGTTATTTTCTGCTGTTGTTGTTGTGTGGTGTTGTTGTGTGGTGTTGTTGTTGTTTTTTGCTGTTGTTGTTGTTGTTGTTGTGTGGTGTTGTTGTTTTCTGCTGTTGTTGTTGTGGTGTTGTTGTGTGGTGTTGTTGTTGTTGTGTGTGTGGTGTCGTGCATCTACGCACCCTGAACCCCCTCCTCCCCGCGTTCCCCGTCACTCCGGGCGCTCCCTGCAGGGAGAGACGCGACAGGGAGACGCGTCACCGAGGAGCGCGGTGGACAAAGGACGAGCGTGGTGGACAAGGGGTGAGCGTGGTGGACAAGCCGTGGGCGTGGTGGACAAGGTGAGCGTGGTGGACAAGGGGTGAGCGTGGTGGATAAGGTGAGAGTGGTGGACGAGCGGTGGGCGTGAACGCAGCGTGTATTGTGTGTGTTGTGTGTACCATTGTGCGAGTGGTTTGCATGGGAATTGTGCAAAAGCGGTGCACACGGTGCGTGTGTGTACACGGTGCGTGTGTGTACATGGTGCGTGTGTGTACACGGTGCGTGTGTGTGTACACGGTGCGTGTGTGTGTACACGGTGCGTGTGTGTACATGGTGCGTGTGAGTACACGGTGCGTGTGTGTACACGGTGCGTGTGTGTACACGGTGCGTGTGTGTGTACCGTGTGAGTGTGTGCACGGTGCGTGTGTGTACACGGTGCGTGTGTGTGCACCGTGCGTGTGTGTGCACGGTGCGTGTGCGGTGCACGGTGCGTGTGCACGGTGCGTGTGCACGGTGCGGGTGTGTGCACGGTGCGGGTGTGTGCACGGTGCGTGTGTGTGCACGGTGCGTGTGTGTGCACGGTGCGGGTGTGTGTGTGTGCACGGTGTGTGTGCACGGTGCGTGGGTGCGGTGTTCGCCGTGTGAGTGCCGCGTGGCAGCAGGGATGGGTGCATGGGAACCTGGGTACCCGGTTTTCCTTCTGCTCCCTCCCTTCCGCCCGTGCCCTTCTCGCCCTGCCGGACACACGCACACACCGCCTCGTACTCCGCCGCACGCGCGGCGGCCAGTGTTTCCCCGCGGCGCTTTGACCCCCGACCGAGCGACAAAGAAACTCAACTCGTCGCGGCGGAGGGAGACGTCCGCCGGCCGTCCCGACATTTTGAAGTTTTTTTCCCTTTCTGCTACATGTCAACCGAATAAGGATTGTCACTGTCTCAAGATGGGGGGCCGCTCCGTGCGTCTGCCCCCACTCCGTGGTCGAGTCGATGTCCCTAAACGTCGTCGTCGGTGTTGGGGCGACAATGTCCGTGGGCACGGCGACGCCATCGAACACCGCCATTTTATATCGTGGGCCAACCGGCTCACCGCTTTCTTCTTGACAACTGCACCACCAACCCCCCCCCCCCCCTCCAGTGAAGGTTCTCCAGAATCCGGCGAAACGTTGGGATTGCGGTCTTGGGGGCACGGAGACCAAACGGATCTATTTAATTATTTTCATTGATTTCCTCTTTGACGATACATTTTTCTTGTCACGCACAACTTGTTTCTCTCTCGCCATTCGCGTGTTCATCTTTTAGTTCTTGATTTGCTTAGTGGCGGGTTTGTTTTTGCATCGTCTGCGTAAGGGACCGGCTAATTAAAGCGGCAGCGTTGTGGGGTGGCAATTGCATGAATGACTCGGTAAATTGAAATTATTCTAACTAGTACACTCACTCACTAGTACACTCACTAGTACACTCACTAGTACACTCACTACTACACTCATCGTTATGCGATGGACGTCACTCCCGTACAGCACAGCAGCGTGGAGAGAAATGTCGGACGTTGTCGTCGATTTGCCACGAATGAACCACGCTGCTCATCAGCGTAAATCATCGCCACGCGATCTCCGGTTCGTCATCCTTGCAGCGGCAGCAGCGGCGGCGGCTTTTGGCTCGGCCGTCGGGACAAAGATGGTGGTCAGCGGAAATTGCGCGGCACTTTCAGACGCCCTTTTGCGCCCGCCTGGAACGCTCTTCCTTTCAGTATCAGGAAGCCACTGGGAGCTGTGATGCACTTATAAATCATCAGCTCGATGGAAAGATACTTTCTGTGTAATTTCTATTTGTGTTCGGTTTGCTGTCCTTCCCCCGTGCCCCCGGTTAGCACGGTTGGCTACGTACGGTGCACAAGAAGTGCAACGTACGGTGCACGCCGCACGTACTGGCGGACGAAGGGCCTCGCTTCAATTCCCGAAGAAGAAGGTGCCGGTGCGTGGAGCGAAACGTCGGACGTCGCGGCCAAATCACTCTGCGGAGGCACAGCCTTGACAATCCACATCGTGACGACACAGCCTTGACAACCACATCGTGACGACACCGCCTTGACAACCACGCCGTGACGACACAGCCTTGACAACCACGTCGTGACGACACAGCCTTGACAACCACACCATGACATCACAGCCTTGACAACCACGCCGTGACGTCACAGCCTTGAAAACCACACCGTGACATCACAGCCTTGACAACCACACCGTGACATCACAGCCTTGACAACCACACCGTGACGGCTGCCATGGCAGCGTGGCCGGCTATAGCCGAGTGAACTCACCGGAGCCCCCGGGAAGCCGACGAGCCCACGTTGGCCGGTCCGTCCCTGGAGCGGCATTAAAGGTGAAATGTCAGTACAATAGAAGCCCTGTTCACGACTAATGACGGCCTCCATAGAGCCCAGTGTATAGTAGTGTAGTGTATAGTAGTGTAGTGTATAGTGTAGTGTATAGTGCAGTGTATAGTCGTGTAGTGTATAAGCACCTGCATGGGTATTTTGTACCATCGAACACTCCATCCCCACAACTCCCAATTAGTGATGGGGCAGTGGAGAGTTTCCCACACCTGGGCAGTGTGCTCATGACCGGCTCCGGTTTGGCAGCAGAGGTCTCATTCCGAATCAGTCGAGCGGCAATATCTTTTCATCGGTTGGGTAACGCTGTGTGGAAGCTACCTGGTCTGTCGCTCCGCACGAAGCTTCAGGTCTTCTCGGCCACAGTCATTCCCTCCCTTCTCTACGTTTGCAAAACGTGGACCCCCCTAATGGAGCATCTTCGCCGGTTAGAAACATTTAGGCTGGCCTGCCTACGATCCATCCTGGGGTTAACCAGGCTGGATTGTGTGAAGAGCTCACAAATCCTTGAAAGATCTGGACAAAGTCCTATCGGTGAGCTCCTCCGGCAGGCAAGGCTGCGTTGGCTGGGTCATGTAGCCCGCATGCCCAGCCACCGCATGCCCAAACAGCTTTTGTTCGGCCGGATAGAGGGGGCTAACCGGGCGCGGCACGGACTAGAGAAGAGATGGAGTAATGTGGTATAGGAGGACATGGAGTTGAGTGGATTTGCCGATGACCAATATCAGCGGTGTCAAGATCGGCCTCTGTGGAGGAGGCTCGTGAAGGACGCTACTGGGCAGTTGGAGGCAATCGCCCTCCAACAACAACGGAGGGAGGAGGAGCGATGCTCACGACAACGAGCGGAGCGCCGGGTGGCTAAAGCACAGCAAGTTGGCACAGTAGGGGGCACAGGTGGTGCATCAGCCACTCGTCTCAGTCAGTCGAGCCATGGCACCGGCTGGGTCTGCCCCGTGACCTGCCAGCGGGCGTTCGACACTTCACGTGGCCTCAACATGCACATGGCCTAGCACAAGCGTCGTGGTGACGTCACCGCCACTTAGTGGCGAATGGCGGTTGTTGTTGTTGTGTCTGTGTGTGTGTCTGTGTGTGTGTGTGCGCATGCCCGGTTGTCGGGAAGCAATCGCAGAGCCACTTACACGGACGCCTCGAGATCCTGAGATGCCCTTTGAGCCAATCACGCCCTGGTCTCCCTAATGGATGAACAAAAACACAAAGATCCCCCGTATAGCCTTTAACACACCGTTGGGGCAAGTGCCGTTACCGAGCACCTATGACGGCCGGTACGGCACACAGACCAACACCACGCCCGGCTGCCTTTGTCTCCCCAGTGGCGATGTATACACATCGCATCAGCTATTTATTTGAGGCTGAGTCTTCTTAGGGGAGAGCAAGGAATGGTTCAGATAATTGTCACTGGTGTTGGCCATGAGCGGGAATCGAACTCGGGTGGCCAGGTTCGTAGCGCGCTAACCACTACACTAGCCTGTAACAGACTGTTGGGGCGAGTGCCGTTAGCGAGTTGCAGCACCAATGAGGCACACGAGGGGGTGGTGTGGCCGACACCACGCCCGGCCACCTTTGCTTCCCCAGTGCTGATATTTACACACCATGCCCAGGTACTCATTTAAGGCTGAGTCGACATAGCAGAGGCCCAGGGCCGGTTCAGATGATTGTCACTGGAGATGGCCGTGAGCGGGAATCGAACTCGGGCCGCCGGGTTCGGAGCGCTAACCGCTACGCCACCGCTCGCAAATTCACATGCATGCACACACGTGCACAGATTCGCCACACGTGTGTACACGTGTGTACACACGTGTGGCGAGCATGATGATGAAGGTGGTGGTGATGCTCACCTTGGGGCCCAATTTCCCCTTCCTTCCCTGCGCCCCCATGGGCCCCTCCAGCCCCTGGAAAAAGAGAAACACCAAAGTTAGCACAACAGCAGTGGTGGCAGCAGTGGAAGCAGCAGCGGTAGTAACAGATTGGGAGTTGTGTGGGTGGAGTGTCCGATGGTACAAAATACCCAGGCAGGTGCTTAGTTTTGGTGGGGCTAATGGTAAGGCCCCACCTCTTAGTGGCACGCTCCAGTCTCAGCAGCAGCGTCTCCAACTCCTCCTCTGAATGAGCAGCTATTACCAATTCATCTGCATACATAACGTGGTTGACCAATAGGGAGCCATCCCCTGATCGCACGCGGGCATCGATCAGCCTCCCATTATATCCGTACCAAATGGAAATTCCCTCGGTACAGCTATTGAAGGCTTCACGAACTACGTGGTCAAAATAGATGTAAAATAATGTGGGAGCCAGAGGACATCCCCGTCGCACCCCAAGGTGTACAGGGAATGGCTCTGACTCCCGGCCACGTAGTTTTACCCGGGCCCGCTCACCATCATGAAGGTCCTTAATGATCGTGAGCAGAGGGTCAGGGACTCTGAAAGCACGAAGAACAACCCAGAGCCCAGGCCTACTGATGGTATCATAGGCCTTGACCAGCTCAATAAAGCAGAGATGTAGGTCTTGTTGGAATTCCCTACACCTCTGCTGTAGCAGACGGACGGATAATATGGCATCTGTGCAGGACCGCCCTTTCCTGAAACTGCATTGGGGCTCTGCAAGCCTCTCCTCAGGGTGCCTGGCAAGGCAATGTTGAAGAATCCTTGCCAGGACCTTTCCCGGCACACCGAGGAGTGAGATGCCCCTATAGTTGTTACAGTCTGTGCGGTCCCCCTTCTTAAAGAGGGGGACCACCAGGGCATCCTTCCAATCCTGCGGAACCCGTCCAGTGGTCCAGACTGTTGTTATGTCACACCACACACACACACTCAAACACACCACTCACACCATACACGCTTACACCACACACACACTCACACACGCTTACACCACACACTCACACCACACTCACACCACACACGCTTACACCACACACACACTCACACACGCTTACACCACACACACACTCACACACGCTTACACCACACACTCACACCACACTCACACCACACACACACACCACTCACACCACACACGCTCACACAGCTCCTCACCGTGGAGCCCACTGGGCCCGACCTCCCCTTGGGCCCCGGGAATCCCTGGTGGCCGGCCGGACCCCGGAAGCCGGAGAATCCCTTGGGGCCCCTCCAGCCAGGGACACCCTGGGAAAGGGGGGGGGGGGGCACAGAGCGCTTCGTTATCCAACGGGGAAACTGCGCCGTGCCACCGAGATCACACGCGGTGAAGGAGCGGAGACTTGAGCGGGTGACGCGGTGGATGATCTCACCAACCCACCATCTCACCCACCCACCATCTCACTCACCATATCACCCACCCACCATCTCACCCACCAACCATCTCACCCACCCCCCATCTCACCAACTCACTCACCCACCCACAATTTCACCAACCCACCATCTCCCCCACCCACCATCTCACTCACCATCTCACCCACCCACCATCTCATCCATCGACCATCTCACCCACCCACCATCTCACCCAACCACAATCTCACTCACCCACCCACCATCTCACCCACTCACTCATTCGTTCACTCACCCACTCATTCAATGCACTCATCCATTCACTCACTCACTCGCCGAGTCATTTATTCACTCACCTGGTTAAACACCAAGTTGTAATCACTGGATTAAACTACGACCACGTTTTATTGTACTAGGTGTACGGCCCCAATGAGCTGTGTAAATCTTTTTCATAAGCGACCTATCACAAATGATAGCTCAACGAAGTGGCTTATCATCATCATCACCACGTGGAAATGTGTAGAACCCAAACACTCTAAACGCGTGATGTCGATTCCAAATGTGGACGGGGAAAACCGGAGGACCCGGAGAGAAATCCACACGACCACGGGGAGAGAGACACCGCAAACTCCAAATATACAGCAGCAGGTGTCAGGGCCGGGAACGAAGAACCCACGACCTCCTGCGCACCAGGCGAGGGAGTTGACATCTCCGAGCCACTGCGGCGTCCCTTTATAACCCTTCTTTGCTTGCGCGTGGTAGAACTCAGAGTGACTCAAATGTCGATAGCGGGAGTCGGCCACCGCGAATGACGATGCCCCACAGGCAGGAAGGGAACCCAGGCGGGCGGGTGCCCGGAGGGCCACGTGTGTTGGGGCCACTCACCTGATCGCCTTTCTCTCCCACGTCGCCACGGTGGCCGCTCCTTTCCTTGAGGCCCTGGGGACACGCAGAGAGGCAGGCGGAGGGGGGGGGGGGGAGACGGAGAGAGGGGGAAGCGACAGAGAGGGGGGGGGGGAGAGAGGGGGGGACATGGGGAGAGAGCGAGACAGAGAGAGGTATCAAAGAACCCCGTGACCAACATCAAGTGAACACATTCATCAAAAACACCGTTTGGCCATAAAAGGAAAACCAAAGAGGTATGGTCGGCGACGTTTTCCTGATTGTGCCGCGTGTTGCTCGGGTACGGTGTCAGACGTTTCGCTCCGCGTGCCTTCCACAGTAGCCGAACCGACTGTTTAGTTTCTGTGCCGCGCTCGAAAACGAGGCGCCGGTGTGACCCGGAATCAAACCGGGAGGGGCGATCGGCGCTTGCTCAGGAACCCCTCGACCCCCCAGCCCCCCCCGTGTGTGAGAGTGTGAGAGTGTGTGTGTGTCTCTCACCTTGTCGCCACGTGGCCCGGTGATGCCAGACAAGCCGGACACGCCCTGCACGCCAGCGGCGCACAAACAGCCACAGCGCGTGCCACGTCAGCTCCTACTGCTGCTGATGATACTGCTGCTCATGATGATACTGATGTTGATACTGCTGATACTGCTGCTGATGATACTGCTGCTGATGATGATACTGCTGCTGATGATGATACTGTTGCCGATGATACTGCTGCTGCTGCTACTGCTGCTGCTACTACTACTACTGGTGCTGCTAAGTGTTCAAAATGAAAGTAGCAGCAAGGGGCCAACATGGACATCTGAGCAGAGACAGCTGCATCACGTGAGCGAGGCAGCGTCACGTGGCCATGTGCAGGGCGACCACGTGGGCGAGTGCAGGGCGACCACGTGGGCATGAGGACAGACGAGGGGACACACAGACAGACGGGGTGCTGCTGGGGTAGCTGCTGGGGGACACACGGGGATATTAGGGGACGTCCATTGAGTCCGTACGCATGGAGGGGGGAGGTCAACCCAAATGCGTAGCTTGCGTATGGGTGGTCTACTGACAATGTACGCATAGGAAACGGGGGGGGGGGGGGGGTGTGAAGGCTCGATAATGATTTGTCTACATTGGCCTTCAAATGAGTTAGATAGTCCGGCGGTGGACTATGTTTGCTTAAACACGTCAATATTATTAACCCTTGATCGTTTTTGCGTGCATTAAATATCGGCCGTTCTATAGGATTCGGGGGGGGGGGGGGGGTCAAACGAACCTACACAGGTGGTGGGGCGGGGGGGGTAAACAGTCCACGTGCCTACAGGGAGGGGGGCAGGGGTCAAGTTGTGACAGATTTGTGCGTACCGACTCCATGGATGGCCCCTTGACGGACAGAAATTTGGACAGACAAATGGACAGTGTGATGGGTAGGCTGGACAGACCGATGGCTGTGCAGACAGAGAGATGGACGGACAGGCGAGCGGATGATGGGCAGATGAATGGATGGACGTACAGGCTGGCAAACAGATCAAGGACAGATCGACAGATAGACAGGCAGACAGATGGATGGACAGACAGACAGGTAGACAGACAGATGGGCAGACAGATGGATGGACAGATCGACAGACGGATGGGTAGACATGTAGACAAATGAATGTACAGATGGACGGACATGTGGATGGACAGAGAGGCTGGTCGACACGTGCACCGAGCGGAGGGGTCGTGCCGTGCGGGATAGAGGTTTGCCAGTCAGAATCTTTTCTAGAGTCTGGAGGAATCCGATGAGCCGCGAAGCTCTTTCGAGGGACACCGATGGCATCCCACCCACCTTGTAGCCCTCAGCGCCATCCTCGCCTCGCTCTCCCGTGACCCCGGGTGGGCCCTGGGTGACAACCGAGATGGGGGGAGACAAATCGTTCGATACATGTCGGGCAAATCGGTCACCGAGCGATGCCAATCATTCGATCAGTCGCTCGGTCAGTTCACGAATCAATCGGCGATTCAATGGACCAGTTGGTCAATTGGTGAATTGGTAAATAAATCTGCCTGTTCATCAGTCAGCTAATGAGTCGTTCAATCGGCTGATCAACCAATTGGCTGCTTCGAGAATAGGCGACAGGCAACCTCAAATAACTCTACACTGTATCTAACCAATAGGTGAAGATGTTCAAACACCAAATAGAAACCTTTTGCAAGGAATCAATTACTGCATTAACCACACGCAGTGCTTGTGGTGAACAGGCGAACAAAAACACGAATCTGATATTTATATAATGCGTTATCTTGATGGCCTAGTCTCACTCGCAGTGTCAGACCAGAGAACAACACTGAAAGGTGGGCAGCACCAGGGCAATGTCACACGTGTCGGGGCATTTGTAGCTCGGGGTGAGCAGCTGCACCATGGGAGCTTTTCTGCCAGTATCAAAGTATGAAAACAAAACAACACGTGTTTACCCTTTCAGGCAATAACACAGCAGTTGTGTGAAGATGCTCAAACCGAGGGTGTCCCTGGCAACGCACCTCGTCTGCTCTGAGACCAGGCGGGCCATCGCTGCCGCCCCTGCCCTGCAGAAGCGAAATCGAGAATAAAAACGTGTTATTATTATTACTGCTTCAACTCGTAACGTGCCCGCCACCCAGCATTCGTTCACTCTCGCAGGCATTCCACATTCCTACGACGGGGGCGAGTCCATCCATCGGACAACCGTCGTTGACTTCCGCCCCAAAAAAAGGTGGTACTCTCGTTTTGTCCACCCCCACCGAGATGATGGGCTAAGTCAAAATGAGAATATTTATTTACAATGGAGGAATCCGATGAGCTATGAATCTCTTTCTCTCAGATTTCCAGTTGGGGGCACGGGGCAAGAACGTGACAACAACACGACAGGAGTGCAAAGTGCAAGAAAGGTGAACACATCACCCAACCACGTGCAAATATAACTTCACCATCTCCATCCTAACCAGGCAAAGCCCACAGAGGTGATTCACTTCTCTTTCAGAAGCGACCTGGCCATCACAAATGATAGCTCAAACCAGTGGCCTCATCATTTGCACATTTACAGCAGAAAAGTAATTAATCTCAATGCGTGGAGTTGAACTCCGCTCGCTCGCTCGATCGCCCGAGTCAGGAACTGTGGCGCGGCTGCCGAGTGTGCAGGTGGTGCAACTGCCCCGTGGCACACGGGCAGCAGAGGGCCGGGGCCTGCGAGGAACCGATTCGATGGTGGGACAGGATGGAGGCGCCAGTCTTGAACCCTTCCCCTGCGATTTCAAGACGCCTGCAAGTTGCGGGGTGGGTGGCTGGGTGGGGTCCCGTGCCCCGCCGAGTCCCAGAACGCGGCAAGCGGCTCGGCGTGGGTTTCTTCAGAGAGGTGTAGCGGCGCTCAGCGCCGTTGACTCTATTAAGACGTCATTACTCGCCGCAAAAAACCGTGGCGACGAGACCGACGCCACTCTACCGTAGCCGGCGCCAAAACCGTGGCGCACGCCCCCCCCCTCACCCCCCGTGCGTGACCTTGTGGGGGCCTCGGTACCGATGACGTACGTACACGCACGTACATACACACACGCACGTACATACACGTGTAACGTCTTCAGGAGTGGAAAGGGTTTAACGAACCTGTTTCCCTGTCGCCCCACGTGGCCCCGTTTCTCCCATAATTCCCAGCGGACCCTGGAAGTGAAATGACAAAAATAAAAGGGGGAGACATCAGGGGGGAAAAACCACAACATGCAACGGTGTGAAAAAAAACACGTCATATATACACATACATATGTGTGTATCTATGTGTGTATATATACGGGTGGGGGTCCGTGGTTCGAATCGCTAAGCCGCCCTGGTGAATCCCGCGGCGTGTGTCGACCGTGATGCTGCTGCTGCTGTCACTACGTCGCTGTCTGCTTCACTCACAGTGGACGTGTTTTAGTTTTGTTTGTTGGTCCTTCCCCCGCGCCTCTGATTAGCAGGGGTGGCTACATGCGGTGCGAAAGAAGTTCAACATAATACGTATATACGTACGTACATGTATACGTACGTGCGTGTGTACGTACATGCGTGTGTACGAACGTGCGTAAGCGTCGCCACTGCGCTGCAGTCCCTCGACTAAACCGATGGAACCGATGGAACCGATAGCACCGATGGAACCGACTGAACCGACTGAACCGACGGAACCGATGGGATGTACCACCTCCTATAAGCACGGCGGGGGGTGGGCGGTTGAGTCCTTTGGGAAGGTTGCATCTCACCTGGGGTCCTTTGGGTCCTTGAGGCCCAGGGCTGCCCCTGTCGCCCTGTGACAGCCAGAGAGAATACAACAAACGGTATATATTTATATATATTTGAATGTAAATGTTTTAACAATCCCCCAAAAACATTGTCTAATTGACACGGGCAGAACTACCTGGGTAGTGGGAGGGGCCACCTGAGTAGTGGGAGGGGCTACCTGAGTAGTGGGTGGGGCTACCTGAGTAGTGGGAGGGGCTACCTGGGTAGTGGGAGGGGCTACCTGTGTAGTGGGTGTGGCTACCTGAGTAGTGGGAGGGGCCACCTGAGTAGTGGGAGGGGCTACCCGAGTAGTGGGAGGGGCTACCTGAGTAGTGGGAGGGGCTACCTGAGTAGTGGGTGGGGCTACCTGAGTAGTGGGTGGGGCTACCTGAGTAGTGGGAGGGGCCACCTGAGTAGTGGGTGGGGCTACCTGAGTAGTGGGAGGGGCTACCTGAGTAGTGGGTGGGGCTACCTGAGTAGTGGGTGGGGCCACCTGAGTAGTGGGAGGGGCCACCTGAGTAGTGGGTGGGGCTACCTGGGTAGTCGGTGGGGCTACCTGAGTAGTGGGTGGGGCTACCTGAGTAGTGGGTGGGGCTACCTGAGTAGTGGGAGGGGCTACCTGAGTAGTGGGAGGGGCTACCTGAGTAGTGGGTGGGGCTACCTGAGTAGTGGGTGGGGCTACCTGAGTAGTGGGTGGGGCTACCTGAGTAGTGGGTGGGGCTACCTGAATAGTGGGTGGGGCTACCTGAATAGTGGGTGGGGCTACCTGGGTAGTGGGAGGGGCTACCTGAGTAGTGGGTGGGGCCACCTGAGTAGTGGGTGGGGCCACCTGAGTAGTGGGAGGGGCTACCTGAGTAGTGGGTGGGGCTACCTGAGTAGTGGGTGGGGCTACCTGAATAGTGGGTGGGGCTACCTGAATAGTGGGTGGGGCTACCTGGGTAGTGGGAGGGGCTACCTGAGTAGTGGGTGGGGCCACCTGAGTAGTGGGAGGGGCCACCTGAGTAGTGGGAGGGGCTACCTGAGTAGTGGGTGGAGCTACCTGTGTAGTGGGCGGAGCTACCTGTGTAGTGGGCGGAGCTACCTGTGTAGTGGGTGGGGCTACCTGGGTAGTGGGTGGGGCTACCTGAGTAGTGGGAGGGGCTACCTCTGGTAGTGGGTGGAGCTACCTGAGTAGTGGGTGGAGCTACCTCTGGTAGTGGGTGGAGCTACCTGAGTAGTGGGTGGAGCTACCTGAGTAGTGGGAGGGGCTACCTCTGGTAGTGGGTGGAGCTACCTGAGTAGTGGGTGGGGCTACCTGTGTAGTGGGTGGAGCTACCTGGGTAGTGGGGGGCTACTTGGGTAGTGGGGGGCTACTTGGGTAGTGGGGGGCTAATTGGGTAGTGGGGGGCTACTTGGGTAGTGGGTGGGGTTACCTGGGTAGTGGGGGGCTACGTGGGTAGTGGGTGGGGTTACCTGGGTAGTGGGGGGCTACGTGGGTAGTGGGGGGCTACTTGGGTAGTGGGCGGGGCTACTTGGGTAGTGGGCGGGGCTACTTGGGTAGTGGGAGGCTGACTGACAGCGCGGGGGGCTGCCATCTGACCGCGTGTCCCACTGAGCCTCCCGGGACAATGGAGAGCTCCACGGCCGCTGTGTCAGAGAAGAGCTCTCACGTGTGTTTGGAGAGCTATGTGAGTGAAACGACGACGACTGATTTGCAGGTAGGAGGCAGCGATAGGAGGCAGGTGGTGGGGGGGGGGCGGACGGTGGGGGGGGGGGGGCGATGTTTGAGGTCAGCAGCGGTGACCCGCACCTGGGAGCCGTTGACCCCGGGGTCCCCGGCTGGACCGGGGGGCCCCATCATGCCCTGCGGACGAGGCGACGGACACACACAGAGACCACGCAGAGGGGCACGGGTGGGAGAGACAAGACACACGCAGGGACTAACTCGACTAACTATTTACTATTTATGTTTACTGGGTGTCAGGCCCACTGAGCTGCTATGTAAAATAGTTTTTTTTTTATCAGAAGCGACCTGGCCACAGATGATAGCCCAACGGAAGGGGCGACTTTCCACCACCGCCATCATCGTCGTCGTCATCGTGTGGACATTTATAGCAGGTCGGGTGGGTCGGTGGGGTGGGTCGGTGGGGTGGGTCGGTGGGGTGGGTCAGCTGGGTTTGGTGTGGTGGGTGGGTAGGGTGAGGTGGGTGGGGTGGGTGGTGTGGGTTGGTGGGGTGGGGTGGGTGGGATGGGTGGTGTGGGTGGGGTGGGTGGTGTGGGTTGGTGGGTTGGATGGAGTGGGTGGGGTAGGTGGGGTGGGTGGCCAGCACCGCACACTCAAATCACGCGACACACAACTCACGGGCAAAGCGTCAACGCCTTCTCAGGACCAACCAACACATCGCATCTCCGATGGACACAAAACAAACCTGAGCAAGACTGATCTCAATGAATGAATGAACATACACAGTATTTGACTAAATAATCAGAATCAGACTATTGTATTTACACTGCAGGAGGAATCCGATGAGTCATAAAGCTCTTTTCTCACAGATGCCCAGTCGGGGCACGGGCAAAGAACGTTACAACAATCAACACGACAGCAGTGCCGAGTACACGCAAGGTGAACACATCACCCAACACACAAACACAACACCACACTAAACCATCCCCATCCTACCAGGCAAAGCCCACTGAGGCATGAACTTATTTACCAGAAGCGACCTGGCCACCACAAATGATAGCTCAACAAAGTGGCCCATCGTTTGGACATTTATAGCAGCCAGAATAACCTAAATCATGATAATTGGTTCTTTACCCTTCTATCTGGCAACAAAACTGACACCTTTTTGCAAGGAGTCATGTTTGCATAGACCGCAATACCTGCAGTCATAAATACAAACAAAAGACATAACTCTGATAATGTGCACTGTCCTTGAAGTTGATTGGTCCACACCCGAGACAGCTTTCCTTCGAGCCTAGTCTCATATGGGTTGGACCAGATGACGCCAAAAGGCGCACAACTCAAGGACAATGCACCATCAGAGTATGAGAGCTCGGGGCAAGCATCTACACTATGGGGACCTCATTTGCCAGTAAAAATATGATAATTGGTTCTTTACCCTTCTATCTGGCAACAAAACTGACACCTTTTTGCAAGGAGTCATGTTTGCATAGACCGCAATACCTGCAGTCATAAATACAAACAAAAGACATAACTCTGATAATGTGCACTGTCCTTAAAGTTGATTGGTCCACACCCGAGACAGCTTTCCTTCGAGCCTAGTCTCATATGGGTTGGACCAGATGACGCCAAAAGGCGCACAACTCAAGGACAATGCACCATCAGAGTATGAGAGCTCGGGGCAAGCATCTACACTATGGGGACCTCATTTGCCAGTAAAAATATGATAATTGGTTCTTTACCAAAAGGTGTCAGTTTTGTTGCCAGATAGAAGGGTAAAGAACCAATTATCATATTTTTACTGGCAAATGAGGTCCCCATAGTGTAGAAACCTAAATCATCTCAATGCATGTGTCTAAACGAATGACAAAACGATTGAAGAATTAAATAAATGACCAAAGAAATGAATGACCAAAGGAATTGAATGAATCATCCGAGGCAATGAACGACTCAACGGGAAGAATGACCAAACGATCAGAAAGAATGACTGCATCGAACGAACGACCAGAGGAATGAATCGGCGTCATGCACGACACATTGGCACCAAGGGGCAGGAAGGACTCACCTCAACTCCGGCGGGACCCTGCAAACCCACGAATCCGTAATCCCCCTGGGGAACAAATGAATGTCATTAACGTTGGGAAGAGAAACCCTCCGCCCCGCCTCGACCCCCATCCCCCCCCGCGTCCCCCACCACCACCTCCCCAACACGAACTGAGTGAGCCGGGCAGACGAGAGACTCGCGTCACGCCACGGGCACGCCAGCCCCATGGTGAGTGGCGTGGACGTGGGAAGAGAAAATTGTCCTTTCATAGCCACGGGCACGTGGCGGGAGAGACAGACAGACACGCACACACACGCACGCACGCGCACGCACACACACAAACACGCACGCACACACACGCACGCACGCGCACGCACACACACGCACGCACACACACAAACACGCACACACACAGGCAGGCGGGCGGACACACGCAGTGGCTGTCACTGCTGCCACTGCGGTCTCCCGCTCGTCCGTCAATTGGCATTTCCAGGAATCTGCGCTTTTCTGGGAAAGGTTGGGCTGAGGTTGGCGCGGTGGTGGCGGTGACGGTGGTGGTGGCGGTGACGTTGGTGGTGACGGTGGTAGTGATGGTGGTGGCAGTGATGGCGGCGGTGGTGGCGATGGTGGTGGCGGTTTTGTTGTCAGGTGATGGCGGTGGTGGGGAACTCAGGCTCACCACTAATTTATATTTTGCCGGGTGCAAGGCCCCACTGAGCGGCGACGTGGCGCTCTCTCAGAAGCGACCTGGCTCCCGCCACAAGCGATGGCTCGACGAAGTGGCTCATCGTCACCGCAGTGGACATTCACAGCGGGGCCAAATAATCGTCGTCATCATCGTGTGACGTCCATTATTACATGTGGAGGGAAAAAACCGGCAGGACCCTGGCGGAATAATCCACGTGTCCGTGGTGGAGAGGGAAAGAGAGACACGAAAACTCCAATATACAGCAGCAGGCGTCAGGGTCGGGATCGAACCCACGACCTCCTGTACACCAGGCAATGGAGGTAACCGGAGCATTCGAATGCATTGAACCTAAAACGGCTCCACGCGCACGTCAGCAGCGCCGTGGTCGTGCCGAGCGAGTTTGTGATTCGGTGCTGCCGTGCGCCGGTGGCCAAACGCAGCGGGTGCGGCGGCACGCGTCCCGGGACGCACATACACATACACGCACACACACACACGCACGCACGCACACACACACACACACACGCACACATGCATACAAAGACAAAGATCCCCCGTATAGCCTGAACAGACTGTAGGGGCAAGTGCTGTTAGCGAGCACCTATGAAGGCCGGAACGGTACACGAGGGGGTGGGTGGCCAGCACCACGCCCGACCGCCTTTGTCTCCCTAGTGGCGATGTTTACACACCGCACCAGGTACTCATTTAAGGCTGAGTCGACCTAGGGGGGCCCAGGACCGGTTCAGATAATCGTCACTGGTGTTAGCCGTGAGCGGGAATCGAACCCGGGTCGCCAGGTTCATAGCGCAGCGCGCTAACCGCTACACTACCGCTCCCCACTTGCATACACACACACGCACACACACACGCGCACGTTGAACTCCCGTCGCGCGTACGGAGCGAACCGTCAGCTGATTGGAGGTGCGTGGAGGGGGGTGGGGGGACGAGGAGGAGGATTAGCCGCGCTGGTTGTGAATCGCGGTCACTCACGGGGAGCCCTGTGGCACCGGCAGGCCCAGCGACTCCCTTGACGCCGGGAGGGCCCTAAAGAGATGTGAACAACAACAACAACAACAACCGCCATTCGCCACTAAGTGGCGGTGACGTCACCACGATGCTTGTGCCAGGCCTGCACCTTGAGGCCACGTGAAGTGTCGAACGCCCGCTGGCAGGAGGTCACGGGGCAGACCCAGCAGGTGCCACGGGTCGACTGACCGAGATGACCGAGATGACTGGCTGATGCACCACCTGTGCCCCCTACTGTGCCAATTTGCTGTGCTTTAGCCACCCGGCACTCCGCTCGTTGTTGTGAGCGTCGCTCCTCCGCCCTCCGTTGTTGTTGGAGGGCGACTGCCTCCAACTGCCCAGTAGCGTCCTTCACGAGCCTCCTCCACTGAGGCCGATCTTGACACCGCTGGTACCAGTCATCGGCAAGTCCACTCAGCTCCACGTCCTCCTGTACCACATCACTCCATCTCTTCTCTAGCCCGTGCTGTGCCCGTTTAGCCCCCTCGATCCGGCCGAACAAAAGCTGTTTAGGCATGCGGTGGCTGGGCATGCGGGCTACATGACCCAGCCAACGCAGCCTTGCCTACCGGAGGAGCTCACCGATGGGACTTTGCCCAGCTCTTTCAAGGATTTGTGAGCTCCTCACACAATCCAGCCTGGTTAAACCCAGGATGGATCGTAGGCAGGCCAGCCTAAATGTTTCCAACCGGCGAAGATGCTCCACCAGGGGGGTCCACGTCTCGCAAGCATAGAGAAGAGAGAGAATGACTGTGGCCGAGAAGACCTGAAGCTTCGTGCGGAGCGACAGACCAGGCAGCTTCCACACAGCATTACGCAACCGATGAAAAGATATTGCCGCTCGACTGATTCGGAGTGAGACCTCTGCTGCCAAACCGGAGCCGGTCACACACAGACACACACACAGACAGACACACACACAGACATAAACACAGACATACTCACACACAGAAACGCACACACACACACACAGACATACACACACAGACACAAACACGGATACACAGACACACACACGGATACACAGACACACACACAGACACACACACACAGACACAAAAAAGACAAAGATCCCCCATATATCCTTAACAGACTGTAGGGGCAAGTGCTATTAGCGAGCACCTATAAAGGCCGGCACGGCACATGAGGGGATGGGTGGCCAACACCACGCACGGCCGCCTTTGTCTCCCTAGTGGTGATGTTTACACATCGCACCAGGTACTAATTTTGGGCTGAGTCAACCTAGGGGAGGCCCAGGACCGTTTCAGGTTAATAGTCACCGGTGTTGGCCGTGAACGGGAATCGAACCCGGGTCGCCAGGTTCGAAGCGCAGTGTGCTAACCACTACACGACCGCTCCCCAGACACACGACCTCCTGTATACCAGGCGAGGTGGTTAACATCTCGTCTTTCGGGGGGGGGGGGGGTGGTGGTGGTGGTGGTGGGTAGCATTCACCAACTGAGTCCCAGTGTATCCATAACGGGGGGCGGGGGGGGCATCGCAGAGTAATCTCTGTGTGATCAATCAACCCCAGTGATTCATCTCTTGCGTGAATACAGCGACGGGTCTCGGCCTCTCGCAACTCACCACGGCTCCCAGAGCTCCCGGCAGCCCGGGCTCAGCCTTCTCTCCCTGCGCCGACAAAGACACACGGCGAGTGAGAGAGAGGTAGAGAAAGAGAGAGTGTGTGAGAGTGAGTGGGAGAGTGAGAGAGAGTGTGTGAGAGTGAGTGGTAGAGTGAGAGTGAGTGGGAGAGTGAGCGAGAGAGAGAGAGAGTGAGAGTGTGTGAGAGTGAGTGGGAGAGTGAGTGAAAGAAAGAGCGAGTGAGGGAGTGAGCGGAGAGCGAGCGAGAGCGATCGTTAGACGAGTCGGCCACAGACACTCGTGTCCATCCGCGCGACAACTCGCAGATCCGTGTTGGTGATTTGATCCATCAGACACTGTCGTCTCAACCACCGCACTGCAAGTGTTACGTGAAGACGAGCACACCGATCGAGTATAAACCTCTCTACCCCGCGGAGCCTCGGAGAGCCTCCAGACGATTCTTGAGGTTGGATCTTGCCAAGTTTTCTAAGGAGTGCGGGGGCAGATGACTGCTCCCACTGTGTGTGTGCGCTCTGTGAGTGAGGAGCAGCAGCGCCTATGAAGGCCGGCACGGCCGCATGGGAAGGCGGGTGGCCTGCACCACGGCCGGCCGTCTTTGTCTGCCCAGTGGCGATGTTGACTCACCGCACCAGTCACTGAGTCGACCTAGGGCAGAGGCCCAGCACCGGTTCAGATAATCGTGACCGTGAACGGGAATCGAACTCGCGGGTCGCCTGGTTCGTAGCGCAGCGGTGCGCTACCTGCTGTGCCACCACTCCCCACAACAGACGCACATAGCACGTAGTGGACAGCACGGAGTGGACAGCCACTCGCCTTGGGTCCTCGCTCGCCCTTTGGGCCGGCATCACCAACATCACCACGGTAGCCCTGTGTGGGAGATGCCATCATCATCACCATCATCACCATCATCATCACAGCCATCATCACCATCATCATCACCACCATCATCACCACCATCATCACCACCATCGTCATCGCCATCATTATCGCCATCATTATCACCATCATCATCAGCATCGCTGTTAAAACCACTACTCCCATCATCATCATGAACACCGCAACTATCATCATCATTATCACCATCTTGCTGTATCCCTCTGCGGCTCACCCTTAACACCCTGACAAACGAGAAGTTCCATCTCAAGGGAGTTTCAGACGTTTCAATGAATAAAGAATAAAATAAACCAAACTCACCTGGTCTCCCTTCTCTCCGGGTGGCCCTCTCTCCCCTTTGTCTCCCTGCGGTCCCTAGGGCACAAATAACCACCCGCACCACGCACGCACCACACACACACACACACACCACGTGGTCTGGACAGGACGGAGGCACCGGTCTTGAACCCTTCCCCGTGTGTCCAGGACGTCTGCAGTGTGGCTGGGTGGGGTCCTGTTCACCACCGAGTCTCGCGACGCGGCAAGTGGCTCGGCGTTAATTTTCTTTAGAGAGGCGTAGTGGCGGTCAGCGCCGTTGTTTCTATAAGGACGTCGTTACTCGCCGCAGAGAACCGTAGCGACACGACCGCCGCCACTCTACCATAGCCGGCGCCAAAACTGTGCCGCGTGCCCCTCCCCCGCGTGGCTGAGCGGGGGAGCCTCGGTACCGATAACGCTATTTTACGAACGTGCGTACGTCATCGGTAATGCATGACGTATGCCTGCATGTACGTCAAGGGAGTGGGAAAGGGTTATAAAAAGCAAGTGATACAATAAGTAAATAAAACAGGCATTTTCTCACGGGCTCTCCGGGCGGCCCCAGGGGTCCTTGCTCGCCATCATCGCCTTGGATACCGTCGGGCGCGGGCCGGCCTGCAGGCCCGGTGAGGCCTGGTAGGCCCGACTCCCCCTGCTCGCGCGGCGGAACAAATCACATTTAGCATGAGAGATTTAGCAAATCGTCGTCATGAATGACAACAACTTGTCAATCGTTTTTTAGTCGGATTAACACCTAGTAGACTTTCGCAACCAATATTATCCATAATTGAGGTTTTTGGGTTAGATCGCAAAAATATAAATGCGTCATTAAACCCGTCACCACCCGACACAGCCAATTAGTCAGGTTTGTCACGTCAACAAAACATACCAATTCGTTACTAGTACAGTACAGCACACCGGTTGTGTGTTGGAGAGTAAACCCACGATATTTACAATTCAACGACACATTTATATTTCCGCGATGTAACCCAAAAACCTCGAGTACGGTGTTTAATAGGTGGGCTGAGACAATTCGGCTCACCGGCCTGCCTCGCTCCCCCTTCTCTCCGTCGTTTCCCGGAATTCCCGGCGGTCCCTGGGGAAGAGAGAGAGAGTTGAGGGTCGTTAAGTCCACAAAAAACCTAAAACCCACCCACGGGTGATTGTCCGACATTTACATATTTGAAAAACGCAACGTTGGAACGCAGGTCACGGTCAGCCGAGAGCTGGCAACATTACCAACGGGGTGTGTGGCCCACAATGGTCCGCTCCGTGGTTGCACGAATTATAACCAAGACGGGCAGTTTAAACCGAGTGAGGAGGAGCTGCTAACAACCGGTACCGGTGCTTTTGAGACATAGAGGCCTTTCGCGACCGAAATTATTCTTCACAATTTGGGCAAATTCAACCCGACGAAGTTGGTTGTTGTTGTTGGAATCACTGGCAAAACGTCACGGTTACTCGAATTGGAAAATGCTGTTGGCTTCACTCTCCAACACACAACCGGTGTGCGCTTAAGTTAGTAACTGCGCCACGTTTTGTTCGCGAGACAAACCTTACTCATTTGGCCACGTCTGGTGGTTGGCGGGGTTAACGACACACATTTATGCTCGTGCGCTCTAACCCCAAACCTGCCCACACATTCGGTATTGTTGTAAAGGGAAATTGAGTTTTCAGGTTCATAAAGCGTACAGTCGTTTCAATACGGACACATTTTATTGTCTATTTGTTTATGTTTCTCCCTTGTGATGGGACTCTGTAGGATGAACGTTGAGATTTAGAAAGGCGCTGGGTGACAAATAAGGTCTTAATTGGTCTGTAATAAGGTCGGCACTGATAAGGGGTTGACGGGTATGTAGTTTAAATTCCAAACAAATAAAACCTCTACCATGAAGACAGCAGCGTGTAGCGTTCAAAGGAGGGCACGAATGATTGCCGGTTAATTCGCAACCATGGATAAATCACCCGTGGGTAATCAAGGGCTAACGGCATATACAGTTTTATTGGAAGTTTATCAGTCAGGGCTGTCGACCATTCAGCACTCCCCGACTCACTCCAGTCACCCACTCAGCGGTGGTCAGTCACCTTCTTATCGCTCTGCTGCCGCTACGAACACGGCCACCGCTCACGGGAACTTGACCCGTCTTCACAGCAACACACCTCGACCATCACCCACCCACCCACTCAACTACTCGGTACATCACCGACATGCTCGCCCGCCCGCCCACCCACCCACATGCCACATCGTGGCCCATAATACTTCCTGCCTCGTTTCTCGCCAAATCTCTTCAAACTCGATTCTATGAACGTATCGCCCCCTCGAGCAACTCCCGCGCCTTCATCGGCGCTGCTTTTTCCTCGCCGCCACCGGGCCTGCGCTCAGCAACCGTGAATGGTAAACCCCAACAGCACCAGGGGGCATCAAGAGCTCAATACTCACCCTGGAGCCTGCGTCCCCTGTCCTCCCCATGGGGCCCGTAGGGCCCTGATGTCTCTGTCGAGAAACACAAAATAGCGACGTTGAAAACGAGCGATTTACCCTTTCGCATTCTGCGCGCGTGCGCGTCACGTTTTCTTTTTTAATCTTCCCATTCCGTTCCAATGACGTACATGTCAAATAAAATCACTCTATTGGTACCGAGGTTTCCACAAGCCCACGTGGGGGGGGGGGGGGGGGGTGTGGCAGTTTCGGCGCTGGCTATCGTAGAGTGGCGGCAGTCGTATTGCTGCGGCTTTCTGTGGGTGAGTAACGACGTCTTTAAACACAATGGCGCTGCCGCCGCTACGCCTCTCCAAATTAAATGAACGCTGAACCACTTGCCGCGTTTTGAGATTTTCGGCGATGAACGGGAAACCCACCCTGCAACTTGCAGACATCCCGCAACACAGGAACGGGTTACCTCTCGTCTATATAGACATATATATGCACGTAAGATTTCACGGCCAATATTATGATTATACATTAGACCGTGCAGGTATAATGTTTGTTGCTATTCATTCATCTATAAGCCTCCATCGGCTAACGACAGAGCCAATTAAACTTCAGTTTTCACGTCATAGGCAAATATGCGCCGGTAGGGGGCAGCACTTTCCACCATCACTGCCAACGCCACGTGCTTGATTCTCAGAGCTGAAATTTATGCAAATTAAATGCGGAACCAAAAATGAACGTTACGTTTTTTTTCGCGTGTAGTCATTGGTCATCTGGCTGCTATCGTTGCTGCTGATGCTACCGCTGCTGCTGCTGATGATGTAATGGAAGATAAAGCTATTGTATGTATATCATGGGACATTTTTGCCAGTATCAAAATATGAGAATAGGTTTTATCCTTTCTGGCAATAAAACAGGCGTTAAGATGTTCAAACACCAAATAGAGACCTTTCGCACGGAACCAAGAATGTATGTATTATGATGAACTTTCGCACTGTACGTAGTCGACCCTGATATATAATCCGAGGTGCGAATTATGCTGCTGGTACAGCCGCTGATGATCATCATGCCGCTGATGATCATCATGCCGCTGATGATCATCATGCCGCTGATGATCATCATGCCGCTGATGATCATCATGCCGCTGATGATCATCATGCCGCTGATGATGATGCGACAAAGAAGATAACACTTCTGGGGGGTGATTTTGATTATTCTGCTACTGCACTTGCTACTGATGATGATATAAAACAAAAAAATCTTACCGGCCAATTGTCAATGAGCGTCTTGTAGAACTTGCTTTGCTGTGGAGAGATAAACAGAAAATAGACGGGAAGATATTTAATTATTGTAGACTCTCGATTATCCACATGCGGTTTATCCGATTTGCAGATTAACTGCTCACCTGAGATTTTGACATAAATTAATAACTCATAGATTTGCCTTTAAGCCCAAATTAGTATTAAACAAAGTGATCCAATGTTATGCTTTGAAATGTTTATTACAAGTGACATGCTTAAACCGGACAAATATATTGCTATGGTTAATCCGAAATCTACGTGATCGCCTCTACAGTACAGTAGTTTTAATATATTTACAAGGGTGGGCGGAGTTTGATTGATGTTGATTGGCGTGGCTCTGCTGTCATCCACTTAGTGGCGTGGAGGCTTCTGCACTGGAGCAGAGAAGTGTTATCAATGAGCACGTGCGTTGATCGTTTGATCGTTAGTTTTTGGCACAGAGATCCGCAGAATTATTGTTTTTTGGATTATCCACGATTTTTAATTCTCCACGGCCGTCCTCCCCGTCGGTGCGGATAATCGAGAGTCAACTGTACATAATCGAGTTTTTTTGGGGTGAGATCGCGTAAATATATAAATGTGTGGTTAAACCCGCCACCACCCGACACAGCCAACTAGTAAGGTTTGTCACGTTAACAGAACATGCCAATTCATTACTAGTACAGCACTAGTGTGTAGTGTATAGTAGTGTATAGTGTAGCAGTGGCGGCTCCTGCAAAATCTCTCAGGGGGGGCAAATGTCTGGATGATTGATAAGGATAAGGTCCACCCATGCAAAGGATAAATTAACAGCTTAAGCATGTAAAGGCAACTTCACTTCTTTAATATTAATGAAAAATAAAGTGACTCTTATACTCACTATTAATACAATCCACTCAAGTTTCTTTTATTAAAGATTCCACTAGGTGGCGATAAATAAAATTGTTGACTGAAACGTGCTTACGTATGATGACGTAAGCACGTTAGTGCGAGCCCTCCCGGAAGCCATAGAGAATGCATTGCAGCGCCCCCCGTTCGAAAAAAAACATCTTTGAATGTAAGTCTATGGGAACACTCTGGGCGATTCTCAGCCGGAGTGAAATCGCCCAAAAAGAGGCGGTACTCCACAGAACGTGACATGACGCTGATTGGACTATATCCAGAGGCACAGTGACGGCTAGCGTGACTCTGTGGTTGAATGACATTGGTGGTGCGTCGCCCAATCGCCCTAATGAAGAAACCGCCCCTGTAGTGTAGTAAACTAGTACATCACACCGGTGTGTTGGAGAACAAAGCCACAACATTTACAATCTGAGTACGACGCTTTGCCAGTAATTACAACTCGCTTCTTCATCAGGTGACAGCCAGATTTGTGGATAAATCCTCGTGTTACGTTCCTTAGAGGGAGAGATGTGATGACAACACTTGTGTGCTCTTCTTGCGCCAAGTGGGGATTGATGAATGCATATACATGCATGTGGGTATTCATTGCCGTTTGAGTTATTTATATGGTAGTACTCAACGTACATTATGCATGGGGCATTATGCAAGCCCATTGTTCTTGTACTAAAACAGCCGTACCAACTACTGAAGTCTGGTGACCTGTTGAGGAATGCATTTGCAGTCGACTGCACAAGATTCTATTACCTGAAACAGACAGGGAAGTTCGTGCTCTGTAGGCCCCTCCCCTTCCTGTTTATTCCCCACCCCATTACTCATTAGGCCCCTCCCCTTCCTGTTTAGGCCCCACCCCATTACTAATTAGGCCCCTCCCCTTCCTGTTTAGGCCCCGCCCCATAACACATTAGGCCCTTTCCTGCTTATTCCCCACCCCATTGCTCATTAGGTCCCTCCCCTTCCTGTTTATCCCCCACCCCATTACACATTAGGCCCCTCCCCTTCCGGTTTAGGCCCACCCCAATACTCATTAGGCCCCTCCCCTTCCTGTTTATTCCCCGCCCCATTACTCATTAGGCCCCTCCCCTTCCGGTTTAGGCCCCAATTGTCTCTTCCTTGTTTTTGACTCCACGCCTTTCCTTTTAAGGCCCCACCCCGTCTTCTTTAGGCCCCGCCTTTCCACGTCTCGGCCCCGTGTGCAGTAGCGGTAGGCACTTCACGACAACGGCCAAAATCCCTCTTGGAGCAGCAACAGAATAACAGAACTATGGTGGTGGTGAGGACGACGATAGGCATAATGATCACAATGATGACGCGGATAATATCAAGGATGATGTGATCACAAAAAATTCCGGCAATGATGATGGTGACGAGAATGACTCTTGACAAGGATGGCACCAATCTTCTTCCATATGGCTGATGCCGATGCAGAGCAACAACTACAATTTCACATGCAGGTGGCCAAGGCAGCAGGAGCCAGCGGAGTCGTATCACGATTGTCATCGTCGTCGTCGCTGTGATGTCTCTTTGGTATTCGTGTATCGGGGCATTGCGTCGTTACGCGTTGAACTACGCCCTCTGTTCTGGATGACCACAGTCGCCACACCACTACTGGAGAGTTTTAAATTTCCCATCTGTGCATCATCAGCTATCGGCATCTAGTGCTGCCATGGTTTGTGCAGTGGGTGGTGCGGTGTATGGGGCGGACCACGATCAGCGTTGTGGGAAATCAAACCACGCCAGGGGATCTTCTGTGTTGAGTCTTTCACCAAGCATGATGGTGGTGACAACGACGACGATGATGATGATGGTGATGACGACGTGAAGGAGTTCTGACCTTGATGGAACTCCAGTCGTCACCCGGCTCCCGGTGGACAACGATGATGGACGGAAGGCCGGGGGGCCCAGGAGGGCCAGGGTCCCCCCCAACACCAGCCCGGCCTAAAGACCCAGTGTCCCCCTAAGACAAACAAAGACAAAGATCCCCCCCCTGTAACAGACTGTTGGGGCAAGTGCTGTTAGTGAGCAACAGCGCCTATGAAGGTACAGGAGTGGAGTGGGTGGCCAACACTACGTCCGGCCGCCTTTGTCTCCCCAGTGGCAAAATGTTTACTACACACCGCACCAGGTACTCATTTGAGGCCACACACACACACACAGACAAGGACCCCCCCCCCCCCCCCATCTAGCCTGAACAGCGGCAAGTGCTGTTAGCACAAGCACCAATGAACGCTGGCATGGCACACGAGTGGGTGGGTGGTCAGCAACACGCACGGCCACCTTTGTCTCCCCACACTGCCCCAGGATGCTCGTTTAAGACTCGAGTCAACAATCACGATGGTGATGACGGGGACAGCGATGACGATGACAGTGACGACCATCACGACGATGATGAAGCCCTCTCACTCACCTTTTCACCTTTTATTCCAGGAAATCCTGAGGGTCCCTGAAAGCCCTGGTGGTGGAGGTGGGGGGAGGGGGCGATGGAACACAGAGACACAGGATTACATCGGTTGCTATTTGTGGACCGATATTACGAACACCTTGGCAAGGCTGCAGCAGCGCAATGGAACGGTTGAGATGAGACGTATACATGTGGCACATTGTGTCTATGGGTCTCTGTGTGAGTCTATGGGTCTCTGTGTGAGTCTATGGGTCTCTGTGTGAGTCTATGGGTCTCTGTGTGAGTCTATGGGTCTCTGTGTGAGTCTATGAGTCTCTGTGTGAGTCTATGGGTCTGTGAGTCAATGTTGGTCTAATGGTCTCTGTGTGAGGTTATGGGTCTCTGTGTGAGCTTTGAGTCTCTGTATGAGTCTATGTTGGTGTAATGGTCTCTGTGTGAGTCTACGAGAGAAGATCAGAAGGGACCAGCCGGGATGTTCAAGGGGGTGCGAGGGGATGAGGGAGGGTGAGGGGGGAGGGGATGAGGGAGGGTGGGGGTGGCGGTGGGAGGACGGGGGGGGGGGGGATCAGTACCGGGTCCCCACGGGGACCGGGGAGTCCAGGGATGAGGAAGATCTCCTTGCCCCACTCGATTCGGACAAAGTGCAGGTGGGGGTTCCTCTCCTCCGTGACCTGGCCCCCTACAAAGACAAAGATCCCCCGTGTAGCTTTCACAGACTGTTGGGGCAAGTGTTCTTAGCGAGTAGCGCCTATGGCCGGCACGACACATGAGGGAGTGGGTGGTGAGCACCACGCCCGACCGCCTTTGTCTCCCCAGTGGCGATGTTTATACACCGCACCAGGTACTCATTTGAGGCTGAGTCGACCTAGGGTAGGCCCAGGACCGATTCAGATAATCGTCACTGTTCTTGGCCGCGCGCTAATCATTGCACTACTGATCCCCACACAAACACACACACAACAACAACAATCGCCATTCACCACTAAGCGGCGGTGACGTCACCACGACGCTTGTGCCAGGCCATGTGCACGTTGAGGCCACGTGAAGTATCGAACGCCTGCTGGCAGGAGGTCACGGGGCAGACCCAGGTGCCACAGGTCGACTGACTGAGATGACCGAGATGACTGGCTGATACACCACCTGTGCCCCCTACTGTGCCAACTTGCTGTGCTTTAGCCACCCGGCGCTCCGCTCGTTGTTGTGAGCGTCGCTCCTCCGCCCTCCGTTGTTGTTGGAGGGTGACTGCCTCCAACTGCCCAGTAGCGTCCTTCACGAGCCTCCTCCACTGAGGCCGATCTTGACACCGCTGGTACCAGTCATCGGCAAGTCCACTCAGCTCCACGTCCTCCTGTACCACATCACTCCATCTCTTCTCTAGCCCGTGCCGCGCCCGTTTAGCCCCCTCGATCCGGCCGAACAAAAGCTGTTTAGGCATGCGGTGGCTGGGCATGCGGGCTACATGGCCCAACGAACTCGACACTCACTCATACTCACTCACTCATAGCGCTCCCACACTAACACACACCCACACACTCACTCTCACTCACACACATTCACTCTCACAAACACAGACATTCATTCTCACAAACACTCTCATTCACACACTCACACACACTCACACAATCACACACTCACGCACACACTCACTCACACACACTCACACAATCACACACTCACTCACACACACTCTCACACACAGACACATTCATTCTCACAAACACTCTCTCACACACACTCACAAACACTCTGACTCACACACCCACACACTCACTCTCACAAACACACTCACACACTCACTCTCACAAACACACTCACACACTCACTCTCACAAACACACTCATTCTCACAAACACTCTCACTCACGATCAAACACCCACACACTCACTCTGACAAATACTCTCACTCACAATCAAACACTCTAACAAACACTCTCACTCAAACGCTCACACAAGCCCCCACCTGTGTCCACCCTGGTGGTCACCGTCGGATCGGTCCCTCCCTGAGGCCCGGCGCGGCGTGGCACCGGCGTCACCGCCACCGCAGCTGCGCCAATGCCACCAATGCCGCCACCACCAATGCCGCCACCACCACCAATGCCGCCACCACCAACGCTACCACCAACGCCACCACCACCGCCACCACCACTGCCACCGCCACCACTAACGCCACCACCAACGCCACCACCGCCACCACCGCCGCCACCACCGCTGCCACCGCCACCACTAACGCCACCACCAACGCCACCACCGCCACCACCGCCGCCACCACCGCTGCCACCGCCGGTCGTCAGCCGCTCGCTCGACTCGGTGGTGATGGCCGTCCCGGTCATCGTGGTCGTGCCGGTGGGTCGCGTTGCCACCTCTGCGGTACAGAGCACCGGGGGGCGTCTCAGCAGGCGGGAGAGGAAGTGGAAGAAGAAGGAGGAGGTGAATAATAAGAGGAGGAGGAAGATCTCACAACACCGGAGGAGGTGGAGGAGGAGGAGGTGGGAGCCGTGTGAATGTGGTTGCCTCATCCCCCTCACAGCAGGAGGATGACCCCCAGGTTGTTCCACGACAGGTGGCCACCCCCTTACCGCTTGGCGGCGGTGTCCCTCCGGTCGGGGCAGCCGTGGCGTTCGCTCGTCCCGCGCCGTGGGGGGCCGCGCCGTGGGGGGCCGTGCGATGCGTCCCGCCGGCTCGCGCTGGTGGCCCAAAAGCCGCGGGGCCTGGCGGTGCGGACGGAGCGTGCACCGTTCGCTCTGGCGGCACCACTGGAAGTGAGGGTGACGACGACGAGGACGATGTAGACGATGGTGACGATGGTGACGATGGTGACGATGGTGACAATGGTGACAATGGTGAGGATGGCGAGGATGGTGATGATGGTGACGATGGTGACGATGGTGACAATGGTGACAATGGTGAGGATGGCGAGGATGGTGATGATGGTGACGATGGTGAGGATGGTGACGATGGTGAGGATGGTGAGGATGGTAAGGATGGTGACGATGGTGACAATGGTGACGATGGCGAGGATGGCGAGGATGGCGAGGATGGTGATGATGGTAAGGATGGTGACGATGGTGACGATGGCGACGATGGTAAGGATGGTGATGATGGCTTCCCGGCTGGACGTGCGAGGTCTTTGCGTCCCGGCTTGAGCGGGCGCGATGGGAGGGAAGGTGGCCGCTGCCGCTGCTGCCGCAGGGAACAGGAGGCGGATGGCGACGTGAGTGGGCGGCGAGGTGGTGGCAGCGCCCTGCCTCATGGCGAGAACAGGGGCCTGGGTTCGACTCCCCACACAGAACGGGCCCAAGGAAGCGTATATCATAGAGCTAGTTCTGAGATGCATACTTCTTTAAGTGGCACTCTGGTCCACACACGATAGGGGGCGGCACTTTCTCACTCGCCCTGCCACCGAGCGCGATGTTTTATCGGGCGCCAGTCGAATCACTTTCCACGGACGTGAACAGCTCATACGTGGACCCAAGGCAGCATCATCATCAGCATCGTCATTAGCATAGTCATGAGCATCTCAATCAGCATTATCAGCATGGTTATTCGCATCAGCAGTATCATCATTAGGATAATCATCAGTATCATAATTAGCATCGTCATTATTATCATTTACATAAGCATACTAATTTGCATAATCATCATCAGTAACAGCATCATCGTTATTAGCATCACCATCAATTGCATCAGCATAATCGTGATCATCATCAGAATCATCATTAGCATAATCAGAATCATCATTAGCATCATTGCATAAGCATCAGTATCATCTTCAGTATCACCATCGGTATCACCATCAGTATCACCATCAGTATCACCATCAGAATCATTTGCATGGAAAAAAATCATTATTAGCATCACCATTATCATTAGCATCATCATCCTTATCTTACGCATCATCGTTTACACTATCAGCATTATTGTAACCATCATTATCAGCATCATCACCACCACCACTATCAGCGTCGTCATCATCGTCATCCCCGACGGATGATGGTCGTCTCACCTTGTCCGTCCTCACCTTCGACGCGGCGTCCACCCGGCCGCCCCCCTTCTTGCCGCCCCCCACTCCGTGCGGGCCCTGGGAGGAGGTGCCGGTTGCCGTGCCAACCGCTCCCTTGCGGAGGAGCGGTCCAGCGCTCCCTGCACCGGGAGGTCTCGCCCCGGCAACCGTTTCCTTGACGACGGGAGGCCTGCCCGGGCCCGAGTCCAACTCGTTGAGCAAAGTTCCGTTTCCGGCCTGAAATCGCCCATTGAAGGTCTGCGTTCAGACAACACCAAATCATCATCATCGTCGTCGTCATCACCGCCAGCCATTGCCAATCCACTCGTCGTTTGTTGAGGTGCCATCACCCTGGCTCGCCAGGAAAAGGTGGTAGAGCAACTGTGGACTCCATCTGTTCCTTCTGTACGGGATAAACTCAACTATGACTGTTTATTGTACCAGGTGTAAGGCTCTACTGAGCGAAGTGGCTCTTTCTCAGAAGCGACGTGGCCATCGCAGATGATAGCAGCTATAGGAGACACGTACTCGAACCGCGTGGTGACGCTGATTCTAAATGCGGAGGGAAACACCCGGAGGACCTGGAGAAAACTCCACGCGACCACGGGGAGAGAGAGAAACACGCAAACTCCAAATATACAACGGGCATCAGTGCCAGGATCGAACCAATGACTTCCTGTGTACCAGGCGAGGCAGTTAACATCTCCTAGCCACCGTGGCGCCCTAAGAGTGTCACCCCTGATCCCTTGTGTACCGTTCGGGCCTTCATAGGCGCTGCTGCTACTCACTAAAAGCACTTGCCCCAACCGTTTGGTTGAGGCTATACGGGGGATCTTTGTGAGTGTGCAAAGTTTGTAGGTCCTACCCCTGTTCTGCGTACTGAATCACACACTCACACACGAATGCTCACAGACACACAGGGTAAAGATGCCCCGTGTAAGCGTACATAATGTTTGGGGAAAGTGCTGTTAGCGAGCACCTATTAAGGCCGGCACGGCACGCGATGGGATATAGTGGTCAGCACCACGGTGGGTCACGGTTAGACCCCCAATACTGGCAGTCACACAAACAGTTCCAGATAGGCCTGGAACTGTTTCAAATATCACTCGCCAATGATGTCATCGCCTTGGCCGAGATCGAATCCAGGGGGAGAGGGGGGCTGGGCTCGTAGCGTGGTGTGAGAACCGCAGTGCCACCACTCCTCGCAGTGAATACACAAGGATAAAGATCCCCCGTATAACCTTCACAGACTGTTGGGGCAAGTGCTGTTAGCGAGCAGCACCTGTGAAGGCCGGCATGGCATACGAGGGGGTGGGTGGCCAGCACCACGCCCGGCCGCCTTTGTCTCCGCAGTGGCGATGTTGAGGCTGAGTCGACTTAGGGGAGGTCCAGAACCGGTTCATAGAATCGTCGCTGACCCTGAGCAGGAATCGAACTCGGGTCGCCGGGTTCATAGCGTAGCTCAACCCCAGCTGCAAACGATGATACAATTCTCATTTGCAACCTTCATCAGCGAGCTGAGACCAGGCCACTGTGGGTTTGAATGGGGTCCGGATGGACACCCACCACCAGAGTGGAAGAATGGCTGATGCATCTTACAGATGACAAGCTGATAGTGAGTGGGCAGATCAGTTCCACAGTAGGTCCTGGTGTCAAGGACATGGGCCTGCAGCCGCTGTTCCGTCACTATAAAGTCCAGCAGATGTTCTTGCTTGGACCCGGCGTGCATCCAATGATGTTGTGTGGATGCGCCGATGCCGAAACAGCATGTTGGTAGTTACAAGCCCATGGGCTGCACAGAAGTCTAGCAGCCTCCTACCGTTGTTATTGAGCTGATGTGGCCCATGCCTTCCAATCACTCCTGGCCAGGTGCTAGCCTCATGACCAACTCGGGCATTGAAGTCACCCAACAAGATGACTGTCCCGAGGGGCCACTTTGGCTAGTACCTATGACAGGAGGTCATAGAAGGCATCTGACTCATCGGCCTTGCCTGCATCCCTCCACTCATGTTCATCTTTGGTGGGGGCGTAAGCACCACCACCATTCCACGCCTCCTGTTGATGGGAAGGTGAGCCCACAGTAGCCCGGGGCTTACAGCTTACCACACCTCACCGCCACGCTCCCAGGCCACTTCCATTCTTTTGTTCAGAAGACGAGCCACTCCCTGTCATTTGGCAGTATCCTGCCCCGAGTAGAGGACTGTCAACCCCTCAAGGTGATTGGAGCCAGAGCCAGTCCACTGCACCTCCTGAATATCGCAGATCCAGGCGGTACCGAGTGGCAGCCTCTCCTCCGCAGTGAGCGTTCGAACATTCCATGTGGCCACTCGCAGTGGCTTTTCGCCCTTTCTGGAGGAGCCCCGAGGGTGTGGATTCAATCTCCCGGCTCTGCCAAATGGGGGTTGGCCAGGAAACGTCATAGGCGCCTGTCCTGACCCCATGGTATCTCTGGCACAAGCTTAATTCGACATTTTTTGTCCGCAGTTTTGTGGAAATGAAATTGAAGGTGGAGGGGGTGACCGGCCCCTCGCACCCCGTCCAGAGCCCACGTGGGCCACTGCGGTGGCTACAAGCGCTATGGGGAAGGGGAGAAGAGGGGCGGGGGCGGGGGGAGAGAGCAGCCGATTGGAATCGGCCTTCCCATCCATGGCACTGCTCACTCACATCCACCACGGCGTTACCATTGCCGGCACCACCGAGGAGGCACGGGGGTTGTTTTTTTGCCGGAGCGACCTGGTCACAGACAGACAGACAGACACGCACGCACGCACCCTCGTGACCGCACCGCAGCTGTGCGTTCCCACAGCCGAGCGCGCTCCGCAAACTCCGCGTCTCTCGCCTTCTCGGTGGGGGGGGGGGGGGGGGGGGGGGGGGGGGGGTTTGGCAACCGTTCAGAACTTTTCCTGCAGCTCCCTGAGAATTCTCCACCGTGGAGCGTTAAGGGCCCCTTTGTGCCACCACACGGGGAGTGGGAAGGCTGGGGGGGGGGGGGGGGCTGTGGGGGGAGGCAGTGGGGGGGGGGAGGGTCTGCTGCCATCGCCAGAATCATCATCAGCGCAATGAGCAGGATCAGTGGCATCGTCACCGGAGGTGGTGGCAGCGTCGTCATCGCCATGGGCAGCAGCGTCGTCATCAGAATCACCGGGAGCGGCATCACGGGTGACGACCGGCGCCGTCGCTTCTACGCGTGGCCATGACATTCGTTTGGCGACGTGGGTCAAGGTGGTCGAGGGCTTTCACCACAAATAGTGTTGGGGGGGGTAGGCTGATCGTGACCGAGGTGGGGGAGGGTGCTACCCCAAGAATCAAACTTCCCTTCTTCATCGTCCGTGTGTTCGTCCCTGGCTCACGTTCAGAGAATTTCCTGCGCCTCAGTGACAAATCCCCCCCTGGGCAGCCCTCTGTGTGTTACTGGCTCCCCACTGGGCAGCCCTCTGAGGCTCCCCTCTGTGTGTGGCCGGCTCCCTCTGAGGCTCCCCTCCGCTGGGGCTGGCTCCCATCGGAATTGCGATGTGGCGACAATAACAATGATCATAAACTATGCCTCGAGTTTCACACAGACACCCACAGACCCACACAGAGACCCACAGACTCACACAGACCCATAGACTCACACAGAGACCCACAAACTCACACACAGAGACCCACAGACTCACACACAGAGACCCACAGACTCACACACAGAGACCCACAGACTCACACACAGAGACCCACAGACTCACACACAGAGACCCACAGACTCACACACAGAGACCCACAGACTCACACACAGAGACCCACAGACTCACACACAGAGACCCACAGACTCACACACAGAGACCCACAGACTCACACACAGAGACCCACAGACTCACACACAGAGACCCACAGACTCACACATAGACCCAGACTCACACAGAGACCCACAGACTCAAACACAGAGACCCCATGAAGTGACTGCGGTGTTTTTGTCTGCACGAGACGACGTGAACGTGGCGAGGGAGACGTCTTGCGTGGCTGTGGCCGTGCCCACTCCGTCTCCTGCCGTACGACTCCTGCAGCCTGACCGAGCGAGCCCTGCCCCCCCCCCAAGCCCCCCCCCATCTGGGCACGTGGGAGCGGTGCTGATGCCCCCCCCCAAGCCCCCCCCCCTCCCACCTGGGCACGTGGGGGCGGTCCTGATGCCCCCCCCAAGCCCTCCCCCCCACCTGGGCACGTGGGAGTGGTGCTGATTCCCCCCCCCCCAAGCCCCCCCCCCCCCCCACCTGGGCACGTGGGAGCGGTGCTGATGGGGGTCTGTGGCAGCGCCGCGGAGCCGGAACCCAGATCGATCACTGGGGGAGCGCTCCCCGTGACAGCTCAAACTCGCTCGCACGTGCCGCACCTGCAGCTCGTGCAGCTCGCTCCCCAGGGCACCACCGGGTGGGAGGGGGGGTTGTGTGTTCCGTGTCTGTGTGTGCGTGTTCCGTGTGTGTGTGTTCCGTGTGTGTGTGCTGCGTGTTAATTGTGTGTGTGTGTTCCGTGTGTGTGTGTGATGTGTGTGATGTATGTTCCCCGTGTGTGTGTGTGCTGCGTGTTAATTGTGTGTGTGTTCCGTGTGTGTGCTGTATGTTCCCCGTGTGTGTGATGTGTGCTCCACGTGTGTGTGTGTGTTCCGTGTGTGTGTGCTGCGTGTTAATTGTGTGTGTTCCGTGTGTGCTGTGTTCCCCGTGTGTGTGCTGTGTGTTCCCCGTGTGTGTTCCGTACATGTCTGTGTGTATGCTGTATGTTCCCCGTGTGTGTGTGTGTGTTCCGTGTGTGTGCTGTGTGCTCCCCGTGTGTTTCCTTGTGCGTCGGTGTGGCCGGACCTGTGTTGGTGTGGCCGGTCCCCTCTCGCGACCCCTTGCCCCGCACCCGTCGCTGCGTAGGCACTGCCTGGCAGCCGCACTCACGTCCCCCTCGACAAACACCAGCTGCTGCAGGGAGCCCTGAGGTGCGGCACACATCACCACCATCACCAACATCATCATCACCATCATCACTAACATCATCACCATCATCACTACCATCATCACTACCGCCATAACTAACATCATCATCACCATCACTATCATCATAATCACCATCACTACCATCATCATCACTAACATCATCATCACCATCACTACCATCATCATCACCATCATCATCACATCACTAATCACCATCACTAACATCATCATCATCACCATCACTACCATCATCATCACCATCACTAACATCACCATCACCATCACTACCATCATCATCACCATCACTACCATCATCACTACCATCATCATCACCATCATCACCATCACCACCATCACTAACATCATCATCACCATCATCATCACTAACATCATCATCACCATCACTAGCCATCATCATCACCATCACTACCATCATCATCACCATCACTACCATCATCATCACCATCACTACCATCATCACCACCATCACTACCATCACTACCATCATCATCACCATCACCATCATCATCACCAGCACTAACATCACCATCATCATCACCATCACTACCATCATCATCACCATCACTACCGTCATCATCACCATCACTACCATCATCATCACCATCACTAACATAATCATCACCATCACTACCATCGTCACTACCGTCATCATCACCATCATCACCATCATCACCACCATCACCACCATAACCACCATCATCACCACCACCGCCATCATCGTCACCACCGCAATCACCATCACCAGCCGTGATCAATCCACTGCTGGATTCAAGGCCCCCTCTCTCTCTCTCCCCCGCCATCAGCAGCCGCCACCGGCTGAGCGCACGCCACGAGCTCGGGGTTGTCGCCACATCTCCCCGGGGAGCGCCGCTCCCACTGGCACGGGTTGCGCACGTGCGGTGCGAAAGAAATCCCAAGTACGTGCAGCGTGCAGAACAACACTTTGCTCACATCACTGTGTGACAGAATCACATTGTCCCTGCGTAGTAAGTGTTGTTATCACAATTGCTTATGCCTCGAAAGTACAGACAACGTCGATGATTCCCCACAAACTTTGCTTTTGATGCAGTTCCCTCACTCTGTGACTAACACGGTGACTCTTCACGGGGGATGGAGGGGTGGGGTCGTCACGTGATGCAGCTCCCTGGCTCTGTGACTCTCTAAGCCAGTGACTATTATTCTTCTTCTTCTTAACCTGGCGTGCACGCCACCCCCTGGGGGAGGAGGGATGCGACACCCGTGCCAGATTTATTTGGAAGGTAAATCATTAAGCATGGGCACGCTAAGTAACAATTTACTTTGTTTCATCAAACCCTTTGTGTTCATTAACGTTCTACATTTGTTTACGATTGAGAACCAGAGGGCTGCAAGGCTGCAGTGAAGGTCACAACACCACTGATCGACTCTCTCTCTCTCTGGGGTTGAACATTTACCAAATCAATATGATGGCGTCATCATCATCAACATCATATCAGACCAAGTGGATCAGCGCTAGAGCAGCCGATAGGCCGCGAGTTCACGTCCTGGCTTGTAGGGCGATTGACTCAAGCCCATCATCCCACCGGGGGCCGATAAAACGCGGACCGCTTTGGTGGGAGAATTCAACAGCAGTGGTCCTACGGAGAGACATAGCACACCCCCGCCCGCCATAGGAACGTGGAATTGCCATCTACTGTGGCCCTGCGCGGCCATTAAACGGACGACGGAGGCGCGATGCCTCCAATGCTCACGTGAGCAGCAGGCGATCATAAAACAGCACACAGGGCAGAGAATCTGCTGGGAGATGGGGGGGGGGGTGTAGCGAGGGCGGTGGTGGTGGCGGTGGGTAGCTCGGTGTTTGTACAACACCCTGTTGCCACATTCACGCCCGCCGAGAAGTATTCCACGACTCGTCATCCTCCGATCAATCGTCTGCCAGGCGCGGTCCCAGCCCTGGAGCTGCGTAGGGGGTGGGGGTAGGGGGGGCTAAGCCCCCCAGGCCCCCTTCTATAGGCTCAGGGCACCCCGCTTCTGTGCGGGATGATTGAGAACGATCTCAGCGTGGCCGCTCGTGCCTGAGGCACAAGACAAAGGCTGCCCCTGTAGCCTCTCACGGCCCATCGGGGCAAGTGCCCTTGGGTGCGGGTAGCACTCGTGAAGGCCGACACGGCAACACGTAGCGCCCGCCT